GATTTCAATATTGTATTAATTAAATAATACAGTGAGTGTCAACATGATGGCAAGGAATAGCGGACTTACTATTTCTTCAATGAGTCTAAATCTTGGTACTCTGTTACTATTTACTGGATTTATAATTTATGTTGTTGGATTTTCGATTGCGAAATGAGCGTCTCTGAATATGTCCCCAATTCTAGTTCATGGTCTAGTACCTGGCTCAGCGTAGTTGGATTATGAGAATTAAATTGTTTACTCGTCTTCTAAAACCATTTGTAACATTTCATTGATTAACAAATAAATCTTATAAAAGATTTCAGCATGGTTCAAAGCAGTACAAGCCATGGAGACGTTGGGTCTAATTGGATTGGTTTTTACTGGAATCATTTGTTTGATTCTTGTATGTTGGAGACAGACAAAGGCATTGAAGATATTGAATATTTTCTCGATTTTATGTTCAAGTAAGTCATTGCAAAAAACAATCCAAAATTTATAGGTAAATATTTACGCGAAATCACACTCACAAATAAACGTGCAGATGCGCACGCATTGCACTGTGAAATTAAATCAATATATTTTTCTCTATTAAACATTACTAATGCACTCTACCTTGAAATCGTTTGTGGTTGTTTTTTTACAAATACCACTAAGATAATTATAAATCACTATTACCACAACAAAATCATTATAAATTTGTTTTATATATTACCTTTGCACTTGAAATTAAAAGTTTAATTCATTCCAAAATGAGTTTCCTAGTCAAAACCAAATTTGACATAATGCAAATGTGCTTATAGTTTTGAATATTTTTCATTCCACTTACATTCCATTGTGTTTTCATTATCATCGGATTAATTATATTCGGAGTTGAAAACGCAAAATTAAATGACTTTAATGCCTTGGTTGAAATCATCGGCACGAAAGACACAATAGACACAGACGGAAAACTTGGCAAGTCCTTCTTCTTATGCGCTGTTGCCGCAGGAGTATCTTAACTTGCATGTTTGCCTCTATTCTTGATTGACCTGAGAACTCAAATAGCATGCAACAATAAATGTATCATTGGACTGTGCAATACTCGAGACAAGGTCATGTCATGAGTGTATCACCGCATCAGGTACATGTTATACCGAATGTTTCAGGTCAGCAACCACAGAGAAATTCTGTGCCAGCATACGGACCTTACAGTGTGCCTCCACCGTACACACCACAATCGTCCTGGGGATATAACACGACTAGTCCTCCGCCACAGCCAGATGGTAAACATTACAAAGGATAGGAAAGATACGGAATAGAGAGACTGAATGTGAACAATGTGAAATTCATGATATAACATATGGACACTCTAGCTAATATTTACCTAGATTATTTTTTTCTGCACTGGTTTAACATTTCACGATGTAAGCCTTGTCAAATTTTGCACTATTTATTCTATAGTAAATCAATCACATTGAAATGGTCCAGTTAAAAAGGCCCTGTCTGCTGGCACGTTGTAGATATTTTCCGCTTAGAGAAATCTGCTGTGTTGATTAAGCGAAAGAACCCTTATATTATTTCAGTATATGAATTATTTTCATCTTCAACAAATACCACTTGTTAGGCGAACATCAGTGCATTTTAATGTACATTTGTAATTGTAAATATATTTAAAAATTGCAGTTTTGATTATTATCTGGCTCGAAACGTACTAGTACAAAGACGAGATTGATGTTGATATTCACTGTATTCAGTCCCATATCTGCGACATTCTAGCACCATATTTGAATAAAATCACCATTTCATCCATCTTAGTACAATTATTCCAACATTATGTACGTATTTGTGTGTGATTTGGAAGGACCCATCTAACACACATATCAATAATAAACTAACGGTGAATAAATAGTATAAATATCAAGCTATGGTAATGTCCTATCGCCTAATCAAATCAGATAAAAATTACTGCTAACATGACTGTTCAAGAAGTAGATTTTATAGGGTCGCACCTACACTGTAAAACTAGGTTATATGATTTTATTCCAGTTATAAGGATGGAGAAAGTCCTTAAGTGTTCCTTCATTGTTCGTTAATTTAGGCACAAACAGCCACACGAGTAGAACTACCTACGTCCTGTAAGCTTGATATATAGTTTCAATGCTTGAAAACAATCTGAAAGCCCCTGGCGAAACTTGAACCAACGGCGATGAGGGGCAAGTAGTTTTAAAGTCGATAGCCTTAATCGGTTGGCTTCGGACGTTGCTTAAGAAATAATATATCCCAAACAGTGATTTTATCGCTCAATAACATCACTGTTTGGAGTTCGGATGCGACGAATTATATCACGAGGGCGTAGCCCGAGTGATAAAATGATGCGCATCCTAACGACAAACAGTGATGTTATCAGGCGATAAAATCACCGATTTGGATATATTATTTCGATTCTAACACGACATCACAAATAAATATTGCCGTACCTGATATTTATCAAAATTGTTTCCGTACTTATTTTCATCGCGTCTGATTCTTTTAGTGGTTACGTGACATGTATACTGATGACGTCACATGTCTAAATATAGAACATCAACTGTGACTTTATTGCGTAATAACACACACTTTCGGTTATTCTATATTCAATAGTTAAAAATGCGGGTCGTGTTAGAATAATTTATACTATGCCGGTGTGACAAAGTACTAGCAACTGTTTTTAAAAAACCCAGTAAATCCAGTGACTGCTTATGAATGTTCAGACTAGCTGTACGTATTCAGAAAACTTCAATTTGTTGATGTTAAAGCTTATGCAACATTTTTTGAAAATCACGCGGAAGAGTTTAGAAAGATTTAAAAATACAGAAAGTTATGTTGATGATATTTTCATGTACTAATGACATTGGTTGTACATTCGCATGTTGTTCACACCTTTTAGGGAAACTTAACTTTCACTTTGTTTCCAGATTTTACAGCTGGACTGAAGAAGCGTAGTATATTTTTGTTCATATAAATGAAGTGTTTAGGATATATTTTAGGAGAAGCAAGTGTATTGGAGTATTGGAACCAATTCCATGTAAAATGAAATAAAAAAACATGCCTAAAACAAAGAAACAGGTATGGTCATTCTTAAGTGTTGTTGGATTTTATAGGATAAATTGTATACTTTGATCCATTAATTAATGTTTGCTTTTACAATTGCCTACAAAATGAAGTAATTATTTTCAAAGATACGTGTTCACCAAATAAACGTGATAGGGGCCAGAATAAAGATTTTACTTGAAAAAACATTACGATTTTAGAGGTCATTTGATTTTGTAATTCAAATAAAGTATGGATTATAATTATTATCTTTATTTCCTCCATAACTGAAGAGCATTTCCATAATATATATTACAGTTAGTACAAAGGATCATATATACAGTAAATATAAATACATATGTACAAGATTTTTATGTATGATATAAATTAGTAAAGAAAAGTCATAATTATGATATGTACAAACATTTAAATATTTACTTATACTAAAAGATAACTAATTAAATTAATCTGTGACATCTATCAACAAATGTTAATTGAGTGAAAATATACTATATATAAAAGAATTGAATAAGCTACTTAGTTGCATATATATCAGGTTCATATGTATATATCAAGAGCATCAGAACTGAGCTTGTTTAGTGTAACAAAATTGCTTAGGTGAAGGAAGAGGTAAAATCCAAATCAATTAAGTAATTTAAAGTTACAATAATTTATATTTTGGGGAAAAACAATAAATAATTTTGGGAAAAATAAATTTTATAATATGATTGCCAAAGACACATTAAGTAAATTAGCCTTAACCAAAACGAAATAATCAAGGCGATTAAGATGTGTTCAAGCTAGGCCAGTTGTTGTTGTTTTATATATGAATAAGGGCACTTACGCAAACTATCAAATATTTACTGTCTATAATCTACATTGTCTATGATTTAAATTAAGCGATAGTGAAAAAAGTGGAATTTTTAATGAAAACAACACTTGTATGTTAACCTTAAACCGAAAACGAAACATGAAGGTGTGTAAGTTGTGTTGTGAACAATGAGTAATGATATCACAACAATGTACATTTATAATAAGAAAATTCATAAAACAAACATAAAGAATTGAAAATATATAACATTCAGAATTAAATCTTTATGTACACCTTCATAATGCAATGACGTTATTCACCATATGCTAATATCACAGTTTATACATTGTTTAGGTAGTCATGTTATTGACACTTGCTAGAAACACCTTAAACATAACACTCTCAGGCTATCGTACATGTCATAAGAATCAAAACCACTAAACATTTCTAAAAGTTGTGATTCTTGGGAAAGGGAACAAAACATTTCAAATTGTTGAATGCCATGTTGTTACTCTCCTGCGCATCGGTCGAATGTTCCACAATCGCTTACTGTCTGAAGTAGCGTGAGTGTATTCAGTGAGCTGCGAAGGGAGCGTAGCCATGTTGTATGAAATTCATTTTACAAATACATATAAAAGAAATAAAGCATTTTCTAGTAGAATTGATTGATACTTTATGGTATATCCTAGCATAAATGTGTCAGTATCGGCTACCTGATAATCATAGTCAGAAGAGAAATACCTTATTTGCATCGGAAAGATATAAGCTGATAATTGATTTTAATGCCGTTACCTAGTATAAGACATAACGTAGATTTAAAGCATTGTTTATTTTAGTTCTGAACTTTGTATATTCGATTACTGGCCTTATCAAATCAAAATATGCTTGTGAGGTCACCAGTATGTTTTTAGATTATTCTTTTAGATAAATGTCGTTCATTTTTAAGAAAATTATGTCCTTTACGAGATTTATGTATTTCAGTTTATACTGTTCTAACCTGTTTGGGTATACAAAATATAATTTTTGTCTCACTTAATATTGAACCTGATTGCAACAGCGTCTGAAAAACAACTCTGAAGCAATTCACCTAATACTTATATTTTTTGGAGGGTTGGGTTATATTAATCGGAGTATAGAAAACAACACAAATCTAGATTTATTGCTATGCATCAATAAATTTGCAAAAAAAAGAGGAAACAAATAAATTGTTAAGATTTTAAGCGAATCACGTGTCTCATTGATCGTGTAACATAAGGGTAACAGCTTGTAAATCTTAAAAGTAAGGTTTTACTCTATATGTGCAGTTAGATATTTTGATATTTTCGGGTAATGTTAATTACGATATTTTATTCAATACAGTCAGCGTCAACATGATAGCAAGGAATAGTGGATGTACTGTTTCTTCAAAAAGCCTAAAACTTGGTTCTTTGTTACTATTTGGTGGATTTATAATTCATGTTGTTGGATTTTCGATCGCGAAATGGGCGTCTCTGAATATGTCCCATTCTAGTACCATACTCAGCGTACAAACGTCTTACCATGTTGGATTATGGGAACTTTGTGTCTGTGTAAAGATAATCTTGGAACAATGCGCATGTATAAAGAGAGACGGAGATCAAGGTTTGTATGTACAGTCTATAACCTAAATCTTACATTTTGAAGATAATTAAATAATATGAAAGATGTTGCTCATATAAATGAGAAAAACTCTGGTATCTTTTAAACATACTAAATGCTCAGTATGATATCAATGATTAAATGTATCAATGGATGCAAACAATAATGTATATAATATTTCTAACATTCTATATTGGCATATTTCATCCGTTCTTAAACCATTTGTAACATTTCATTGATTAACAAATAAACCTTATAAAAAAATTTCAGCATGGTTCAAAGCAGTACAAGCCATGGAGACTTTGGGTCTAATTGGATTGGCTTTTACTGGAATCATTTGTTTGATTCTTGTATGTTGGAGACAAACAAAGGCATTGAAGAAATTGAATATTTTCTCGATTTTATGTTCAAGTAAGTCATTGCAAAAACAATCCAAAATTTATAGGTAAATATTTACGCGAAATCACACTCACAAATAAACGTGCAGATGCGCATGCATTGCACTGTGAAATTAAATCAATATCTTTTTCTTTATCAAACATTACAAATGCACTCTACCTTGAAATCGTTTGTACTACACTTAAGAAATTACGTTGTGGTTGTTTTTTCACTTATACCACAACAAAATCATTTTTCATTTGTTTTATATATTACCTTTGCTCTTGAAATTAAAAGGTTTTTTTTAAAAGTTTTATTCGTTTCAAAATGAGTTTTCTAATCAAAACCAAATTTGACATAATGCAAATATGCTTATAGTTTTGAATACCTTTCATTCCACTTACATTCCATTGTAGGTGTTTTCATTATCATCGGATTAATTATTTTTGGAGTTGAAAAAGCAAATGACTTTAATGCCTTGGTTGAAATTATCGGCACAAAAGACACAATAGAGGCAGATGGAAAACTTGGCACGTCCTTCTTCTTATGCGCTGGTGCCGCCGGAATATCCTTTCTTGCATGTTTGCCTCTATTCTTGATTGACCTGAAAACTCAAATACCAGAGTCTTCAAATATGCAACAACAAGGTCATGTCAATTATGTATCACCGCATCAGGTACATGTTATACCGAATGTTTCAGGTCAGCAACCACAGAGAAATTCTGTGCCAGCATACGGACCTTACAGTGTGCCTCCACCGTACACACCACAAGCGTCCTGGGGATATAACACGACTAGTCCTCCGCCACAGCCAGATGGTAAACATTACAAAGGATAGAAAAGATACGGAACAGTTAGACTGAATGTGAACAATGTGAAATTCATGACATAACATATGCACACTCTAGCTAATATTTACCCAGATTATTTTTTCTGCACTGGTTTAACATTATACAGTGTTAGCCTTGTCAAATTTTGCACTATATATTCTACAGTGAATCAGTCACATTGAAATGGTCCAATTAAAAAGACCCTGTCTGCTGGCACGTTGTAAATATTTTCCGCTTAGAGAAATCTGCTGTGTTGATTAAGCGAAAGAACCCTTATATTCTTTCAGTATATGAATTATTTTCATCTTCAACAAATACCACTTGTTAGGCGAACATCAGTGCATTTTAATGTACATTTGTAATTGTAAATATATTTAAAAATTGCAGTTTTGATTATTTTCTGGCTCGAAACGTACTAGTACAAAGACGAGATTGATGTTTATGTTCACTGTATTCAGTCCCATATCCGCGACATTCTAGCACCATATTTGAATAAAATCACCATTTCATCCATCTTAGCACAGTAACTCCAACATTATGTACGTATTTGTTTGTGATTTGGAAGGACCCATCTTACACACATATCAATAATAAACTAACGATGAATAGTATAATTATAAAGCTATCATGGTAATGTCCTATCGCCTTATTAAATCAGATAAAAATTACTGCTAACATGACTGTTCAAGAAGTAGATTTTATATGGGAGGTAGTTCCGTCTATTCTACATTGTAAAACTAGGTTCCAGTTATACGACTGGAGAAAGTACTTAGGTGTGGCTTCTTTCATTAATTTAGGCACAAACGGCCACCAGAGTAGAACTACCGACGTCCCGTAAGCTTGATGGATAATTTCAATGCATGAAAACAATCTGAAAGCCTCTGGCGAAACTTAAACCCACGGCGATGAGGGGCAAGTTTGAAGTCGAAAGCCTTAATACGTTGGCTTCAGACGTTCCCTAAGACGTTGCTTAAGAAATAATATATCCCAAACTGTAATTTTATCGCTCAATAACATCACTGTTTGGAGTTCCGATGCGAGGAATAAGATCACTATATAATGATGCGAATATCCGAACGATACACAGTGATGTTATCAAGCGATAAAATCACCGATTCCGATATATTATTTCGATTCTAACACGACATCAACAAATATATGATGCCGTACCTGATATAAAGCAAAATTGCGCCTGATTTGTTTCCGGACATATTGTCTGCGCGTCGGATTTTATAGTGGTTGCGTCACATGTATACTGATTACGTCATATGCCTAAATACAGTGATTTTAAAATAAAATTACACACACTTCCGGTTCTTCTATGTTCAACAGGGAAAAATGCGGGTCGTGTTAGAATAATAAATATTCCGGTGTGACAAAGTACCAGCAAGTGTTTTTAATAGACCAAGTAAATCCAGTGAATGCTTATGAATGTTCAGACTAGCTGCACTTATTCAGCTAGTCTGTACTTATTCAGAAAACTTCTTTTTGTTTATGTTAAAGATTCTGCAACATTTTTTTTGAAAATCACGAGGAAGGTTCTCAAGGGTTTAGAAGGATTTAAAATGCAGAAAGATATTCTTATGTACTAATGACATTGGTTATACATTCAAATGTTGTTCATACGTTTGGGGGAATCTTAACTTTCACTTTGTTTCCAGATTTTTACAGCTGGATTGAAGAAGTGTAGTATGTGTTTTAATTATGCAAATCAAGTGTCTAGGATATATTTTAGGAGAAGCAAGTGTATTGGAACCAGTACCATGTGAAATGAAATAAGAAAAAACATGCCAAAAACTAAGAAACGGGTATGGTCATTCTTAAGTGTTGTTGGATTTTATAGAATAAATTTTTATACTTAGATCTATTAATTTATGTTGACTTTTACAATTGCCTACAAAATGACGTATTAATTTTAAAAGATGCGTATTCACCAAATAATGGTAAGGATAAGAATATTTAACTTGAGAAAACATTACAATTTTAGAGGTCATTTGATTTTGTAATTCAAATAGAGTATTGAACGTTGTCTTACACCACTCTGTACATAGCGATAGGAGTTTGAAAGAGGTCTGTACGCGTCATCACTAAATGACGTCAGGTGGGCGCGGCCTGCAAGATAGGAGATGAATATAAGTTTGCTTAACTATTAAAAAAAGATGACTGATATTGTTTCAGTGGCAATTAAATGTCCGTGGAACAAAATCGACATTTTCACTTCTACTGAGCATAGTCTCTGTTAAAAGCCGACGCATTGCAATCTTTGTTCTCTTATGACTAATAGGAAAGTGTTTACATATTTTATTACTACTTTGACATTTATCTAGACTATGCAAGGGCTAATCTTACAAAACGTTTCTTTTAAGGCGTTTCTTACCATTTTAATCAAATAGTTACAGGTATGTACCCATTGTCTAAACTCGTAAACATTTTTGCATCGCATCGTTAACGATTATTGCCAATTTACCTATAGTTGTGCCAAAACGAAATTATCAGTGTGTGTATATAATGACCTAAAAATCAATACTCTTTGGGTTATATTCGGTAAAGAATAGCAAGTCCTTGTCATAGTTCTACAGTAAACTTGAATATTTATCTGTACACTACATGAATTAAATACTTTTAAAATGTTGACATAATCGCACATTATATAAATTAAACTTTATTAAGATATTGCAGGTGGTATTGCTCATTGCACCCAGAGAAAGTGTTTAACATAACGCAATTACTTTGTCCGTCTTTCAACCCGAAAATATGGTCTTTATTCTATAGAAAATGTAACCATTTATGTATTAATACTGGAAAAAAACCTAACCTCAGAAATTTGTAAAACATTGAGCAAGTCGTTATAATGTATATTAATAAAGATGTCATATTGTCCAGGGTAACTTTTAGAAAGATTTTGAAATAAAAAAAAACAACTTGAAATGAGTATTTGAGCTAAGACAAAATGAGCCTCCACTTTCTAATGGTTGCCTCTAGCCATTTTATTATATAAAAAACCTGACTTTACATAGTCAGTTAAGCTCGATAATTTAAAAACATACAAATACATGCGCTCTGCATATGGAAAGGCTAATTACTTTTGCCAAACTTATTAACTATTTGTTGTTTAAAGGGGTCCACAAAATTGAGCCAAAATGAAAAAGATGCATATCCCCTCCTAACGGTAGATTTATGTCTAGATGCATTGGTAGGTGCCAAGTGGTTCAAAACTGCAAAGACTTGTGTTCGGGATTTTAGCAGGTCAAAATGGATCCAGACAACTAACTTAATTCTTTGATAGTTTACCGCGGAGGAAGGTAGTCTAGTACTGGTGTAACTCTCCAGGAACCATTGTTAGGAAACTACCCACCTATATGACTGAAATACTGTTAGGAAAAGGCGTAAAATGAAACAAACAAACAAACAAAACAAACTTAATTATACTTGACTCTATAACAATATTTTTCTTCATACAATCCTTTGCCATTTTATGTAATGAGGCAGTTCAATGTTTAATAGTCCGTACACGTATGTAGATAATACCCTGATTTAGATGACAATAGTCGACAATGATCAATATAATATTGAGGTTTTAGGGCAGTGCAATATTTGCTTTACATCAAAGAAGTCTGATGACGTAATATTTTCCGCGATTTTTGTGAGCAACTGTTGCTTCTTTCGGGCCGATGAACAACATCGCTTACAAAGCCCTGAAGCTCGCCATATTAGCATCGCACTGTACGCCTGCCTGCCTGTCTGCTCGTCTGTCTGTGCCCACTTACACAACATTCGCGTCCACACTGTAACTTTGGCATGCATTAAAGGACTTAAAAATAACTTGGCACAAATGTCTATCACATCATGATGATATGTCGCATTTAAGGGACCATCTCTCTTTATAACATTAACAGTTTGAAGGTTCACAATTATACACATTCGTATCCGGACTTTAACTTTAACTTTGACATGCATTCATGTTTTATAATAACTTGACAAAAATGTCAACCACATCAATACGATGTGTCGTGTTGAAGACACATGTCCCTATCTCCAAGGTCAAGGTCACACTAATAATTTGAAGGCACTCATTCTCACATGAAGAGTTTGAAGGTATACACTCGTGACTGGACTTTTAATTTGTCATGCATTCAAGGCTTTTAATATAGCTTGGCACACAAGGATGATATATCACGCCAGTTCAAGGTCATATTCTTACAATTAGAGGTGAAAGGTATACACATTCGTGTCCGGATTGTAAGTATAGAAGGGTTTTGAAATAATTTGGCATACATGTGTACCATATCAGGACGACGTGTCGCGTGCAAAACCCATGTCCCTACCTCCATGGTCAATGTGGTTATTTTGCAATGTATAGCACTTCATTTTACAAGAACAACATTGAACAATTTGTTGCTTTTATTCTCTTTTGTATTCATATTACCTTTCTGTAATACTTAGAAAATATTTTTTTGGCATTCGTCGCTCTAGTTTAAAAGGAAGTCGAAAGTTTCATTACAATCTATTTGGCAGTAGCGCTGTCTTATGATCACGCGGCGTCATGTCATTTAAGTAAAATAGACAGACTAAAATGGTGTAGGACCTGTTCAAGATTTAAGTTGCCTCTCACAATCAGCGGTTAGATACTATAACGATTTTGGATTTTAATTTAAAAAAAAAAACAAAATAAATGCAGTGTATTTCATATCTACGCAACGCTTTTTTCTGTCAAATTTGGTAATACAAGGTAGTTCACACATAAACAAACAGTTTATAGCAAAAACTCTCGGTATTGTGGGACACTCCTCTTTATGAAATATCTATCATATTGAAGACACCTCCTTTAAATTCGATATTGATTTAGATTTTAAAAACTTCATCATTGTTGACAAAAAACTTTTCGGGTTAACAATATCATTTTGTTTTATCTGAAATGAGACGAATTTATACGAGATTATTCATTTCAATGCAATCCATTATTTTCCCACACAATTTATATGCTACATGTAATCTTATCCTCTTATATTTCTTTTATATTATGTATCGTTTTAAACGGTGATGATCATAATTAATCTAAACCATAGCACAAGTGGCGCATGTTTTTACATACTTTGACGACGAAAACAAGATAATGAGGAACTTTTATCTGGTAGGTGTTATGTCTATTTCAGTTAGCCTTTTACGCTCTGCTCAACGCACAACGGTACACCCTTGTCCGTAGCTTCTATGGTGCGCTTTGACTTGGAAAAATGAAGGTAAGCGCTTTTATTTTTTTACCTCGATATGTTTTTCATCAGAAATTTTTAAAAATTAAAATCTTAGTTCGAATTTCCTACTAGTTAAGAATTGTCATGTAATTGAAATATATCTAACAAAAGCCCGATTGGTTTCGTTACAAGCCTCGACACATAATAGATTTTTCTTGTACAACATTAATCAAAGATATGACATATATGTACAATTTACAAAGCAATACAACACATGCATTTAGACCATAATTCTATAATATATGAATCATTTAATTTTCTTTCAAAACATTTCCCACCATACAGATCCGGTGAGTGCGTACCTTGGCTTTTTTGAGTATACGCCGAGTTCAGGTATTTAGCCGAAGGGTCGCCAGAGTCCTATGTCCTGTGTTATAATCAGGGATTTAGGGGATATCTTATCGGTGAAATGACATTTAATTGTACTAGTATTGTCTTTTTATAACATAACGTACATGTATTGAATGTCTGTGAAATTGTACAAAGTCATGAAGACTAGCGTGTACACTGTCTTAAATAGTTCATTATCTATTAGAAAAACAAAATATAGCCTATCAAGATGGGTTTTATTTCTTTCTTTAACAAGTTTTTTTTTCATTGTTATTTTTCTTTTGATTCATCATAACTTAACACGAGATATGATCAAGGAAAATATCGCTTTAAAATGATCTGAAGGACAAAAGTACAAACACATCAGCTAAAATATTTTAATGTAACAAAAAGTTGTCGCATTCACAGCTAAAATTTATTATCGCACGATATGCAAGGTCAATAATAAAATATTTTTAAATGCGTAATAATTGTTGTCTTCTCAACTCTACTCTTATAAATTTCATTTGAAATATTTAAAAAAAGTTATTTCATTCTCACGCACATAGAAGAAAGACTCGCCAACTAATTATCTAAAGTCGGCGAAAATTATAGAATTTTATATAGCTTGAAATTGTTCCCATCTATGTTTTATATGTGTTGATGAGACTACGTATAATACAGAATATATGTCATTGTTTGCAGAAGAATGTAATTTATTTCTATACTCAATAAACAAAGACAGTAGCAATAACTTTAATATTTTGTAAATATTCTTTTAACGAACCAATAAACAAAAGTTGAGTATGGTTTGTGACGATAGATGTGGATAATGGTTGGCTGCAAAGACTTGATTAATAGGGTCCAATTTATTCTGCACAATTTGAAATAAATATAAGATGAATGAATGTTGCTACTTAAAAATAGCAACATGGCTAAGAAGACTGTCGACAGTTAATTTATTAGATAAGATGTATAAGTATGGTACAGATTATACAAGAATACAATTACATCAAGATTTAAATCCTTTTTGAAAAGGTGTGCTTTACAGTTTTTATTTAATTTCTTCAAATGTAGAAGAGAATTCTTGTAAGCAAAGTTACTCAGTCATTTTATGATTAAAGTTGCATGATCTAGTGTTTGTTATAACAGATGGGTATCTAGGGAAGAAATATTTTTAGGGGACCGTATCAATCAAGAAGGTGAATTTTATACTTGGCAAGATTTTATTAGTTTTTTCAATATTAAAACAAATCATTTGAAATATCAATGTTTTTTTCCACATTCCTTTAGATTTGGCTATTATAAATAAAGATAAAAAAAGGATGCAGATCTGTATAAAGAATGATAAAAAAGAAGGAAGAATATATATTTTCATTGCTAAAATGGAAAAATTATTCAATAAGTTTGGTGATATGAATAACTTGAATTACAATTTAATATATAGTAATGTTTTACGAGTAACAAAAGACCCAAAATTGTTCTGGGGCTGTATTCATAAAGCTCCTTAGTTTCTAAGGAGCTTTATGAATAGCAACTAAGGAAATTCTTAAAAAGTAAGGAAAATCTTACGTATTTTAAGGAAAATCTTAGAATCCAAGGGAATTTTATCCCTTATGAGCTTTATGAATACGGCCCCTGGTTTCAATACAGAATCAACCATAGAATTTGAGCTACAAACTATATTCTTAAAAAATGAATATTATTAGAGAAAATGACTGTACATTATGCCAACATGAGCCAGAAACTTTAATACATCTGTTTTGTAATTGTGAAAGTATATTACAGTTTTGGCAACAATTAAATCATATATCAAAGAAAAATGTAATATAAATTTCACTAATTGGAGTAATTTTGATATCTTATTTGGGAATATTAATATAAACATCATCATAAATAATGTTATATTGCTAGCAAAACATTTCATATACGCCTCCGTGGTCGAGGGGTTAGAGTCGATGACTTCTAATCCAGTTACCTCTCTGGCGTGGGTTCGATCCCCGGGGGATGCTTTGGTAGTTTAGCACGGAGGAAGGTAGTCTAGTACTGGTGTAACTCTCCAGGAACGATGTTTAAGAAATTACCCGCCTAAATGACTGAACTACTGTTGGGTAAAGGCGTAAAATGAAACAAACAAACAGGTTGAAAAAATAAGGCATTCAAGAAACAAATAGTTTCTATATTTATACCACTGAAAGATTCAGTGTTTCAATATGAAAAATTTGTACGCTCATGAGAAATGTTTAAAAATTTAGTAAGTTAGTGAGACTGTTTAATTATTAAAATTATTAAGTAGTAGACACCCCTTATTGAATAATTAATATTATTATTACTCCACTTTCCTGACAGACCTTCCATCAGTGACCTTTACTAATATTTAGAGAATTTCAATAATTTGGAAGTAAATCCTCTAAGAAATAGTATACTGACAGAGAGTACTTTGAAGGAATAATGAAAATGGCACAGTGGATATTTTGTTTCTTTTTTAAATGACAAGTTGCAAAATTAATCGAACGGTTTTCGTTCAAAATATAAACATACACATGATACTTCAGTTCTGTTTGTGATTATTTCCTTTAAATTGTAGAACAAACTTTCCTTTACAGGTTATACATGTTATTTGTGTATGGATTTTCCTTCGCAAATTATCGGCAATAGGTAAGTGTTCTTATTGAAATAGCGTTTAATTTCTCTCCATATACAATTACCGGTATATTTATTTAACAAATATACCCCTTAAATGCCGGTTTGTGATTTTGTAATATTCAGAAATTCCCAAAATATGTTTTGCTTTAATGTGTATATATCAGGGACTTTGCTATAAATGCAAATGAATGTTAGTCTTATTCATATTGTTAATCATTAAAAAATAAACATAATATAAATGTAATGTTGATTTTTTTTTCATTAATTAAAATGACACTTGCATAGCCCTTCATTTCCTATGTGAGATAATATTTTATCATTATTACGAAGCTGATCATATGATACAAAAAATGAATGGGTGTTTTCATTTCTTACAGTAATTGATGAAAAGTGCAAAATAGACTGTGCATGTTGTATAGATAGAGAATGTGCACCAGGCAAATGGTTTTGTAATGAATGCACGTTAGGCTGTATTGATGGTCATAGAGGTGGTCGTTGTTATGAAAGATGTACGCATAACTGTACAAAATGTGATAATCGCGCAGATACGTGCACTGCGTGTTATGGTGGATATTATCCAGGTCCTGTTGCAGACTGCACATCAAAATGTTTGCCTGGATGTAAAACATGCACTTCCGGTATCAATTGTACATCATGCAAGGACGAGTATTACAACGACAATGGTCGAATTGATTGTAGTTATCGCTACTGTCCTGAAAATTGTTATTGTGAAAATAAACAGTGTGTGTCATGTAAGGACGGATATTACGATACCAGTAAGTCATGTAATAGTTTATGTCCAGGTAACTGTATCACGTGTTTGTCGGATACTGATTGTGGATCATGTAAGGATGGATATTATAAAGGTTACCGGAACGACAACATAAACCCCCGTTTGTTTACCGACTGTACAAATAAATGTCCAGATAACTGTGTACGATGCTTATCATATGACAGTTGCTCTGTTTGTAAAATAGGGTTTTATGGAGCAAACTGTGAGAATACATGTTCTACTGGATGTACTACAAACACTTGCGATATACTGACAGGAAATTGTAATTGTTTTTCTAATTTTGCTGGGGAAAGGTGTGACAAATGCGAAACCGGGAAATATGGAAATTTATGTGATCAACAATGTCCTATGGGATGTAAAGGAAATGTGTGTGAAAAAGATACCGGAGATTGTACAGACGGTTGTACTTTAGACAGGATCATTGGGGATAAATGTGATATTTGTCCGGCAGGTTTGTATCATAAAAACAATAATATGCCTTGTTTTGTTGGTTATAATAATCAACAATGCGAAAGGGGGTAAAGGTTTGTGCTGAAAAAGATATATTTTGTATTTGTTCCTTTCGAATAGATGGTGATCAAAGCATAATAGAATTGAAAATCTGCGAAGGAATTTCGAAAATTTTATGCAATCGGGATATAAACTTGAAAACTTCTTGTAATTGAATATATTGTATAAAGATTATGCAAAGTGAGAATGCGATTCAATTTCTAATGCTCATCTAATGACTTTTACTATGGGCAGAAACAAGCTTCTTGTTTACGCTGTTACTTGATTCCTTGATAGGTACCTTAATTACTCCACAGCTCAGACAACTGGGGCGAATTTTGTTGTACTGGCTTTAAAGTGCAATTTTTAGGTCCGAAAAGAGGAATTTTATTTAACATTATTTCTTACCTGGCATTATTTAATGATTTTGTCTCGCCCTACATTTGACCCGCTAGCTATGACTCGCAAGTGAAAATGTTTTTTACCCTTTTGATTCATAACTTCGCACCGCAAATAGGAGGGAGATTTTTAATTTCTAAGACATTCTTTTCTGAGGTAATTTGATTGTTATTTCGCTGCAAGTTTATCACGTCAGAAGAACAAGTGCATGAAATATAGAACGTACAGGAATTGCAGACTCGGAGAAACACCAAAGAATACTCAAAATGGCATGTTTTCTTCGGTGATGAAGACACTTGATAAAACATTGTCTGCGTTACCAAAATTGGAAAATATTTTCGAAATAAATTTTAGGAATTAGAGACTTAATTTGCCAATCGTTTACATGGTAGGTCATCTGACTTTTGTGGAAAAGAGTACTTACAATATATCAAGGAAACATATTTTTGTAGATAATTCTATATAATATCAAAAGATCAATGTTAAAATTTGTATTATGCGATTAATTAACTGTTTAAAACAATTTTAAAACAGTTATCGAAATTCCTGTGTCTGAAATACATAAAATAAGGTAACAGTCAGTAGGTAATTGTCCTATACATATACTTATGTATCATTAGTCCGATTGATTGAGTCTGCTCATGGACGTAAGTCATAATAACAAGCTACCGTCCATGACCCCCTTAGCTTAAGAAGAATTAAACATTTGAACTTAAACAAAGTGAAAGTTTCAATTTAGAAACAGTGTGTTTTCAAGAAACATTCAAAGCGACACGTCGTGTCAATTTATCTCAAATGAAAAACTAGGTCACAGGAGCTAAAAATAGAAAAATACTTTTTTGCTCTTAATATCCTGAAAATTGGTCTGAAAGTTTCTTTTGATGATTCCTAGGTGAAGTTTGTTATGAGTCACCTGGAATCAAAAACTACCCCACACCGGCCAAATATGGAAAAACTTAGTTAAAACTCTAGTGGTCACATTTTTGACTCAATCATTATCATACTATGCCTGGATACCTGCCTTAGTAATTGCTCGGATGAGTACGTAGATGGGTCTTCTCTGATGAAAAACTAGAAGTACATATATAGGTCACCTGGGGTCAAAAAACTACGTCACACCACCCAAATATGGAAAATCCTTGTGAACACCCTGGTGGTCTCATTTTTGACTCAATTGTCATCAAACTTGGTCAGGATGCTTTTTCTAGGTAATTGCCTGCATGAGCATGAACATTGGTCATTTCAGATTAAAAACTAGGTCACAGAAGCTAAAAATAGAAAAATCTTGTTCGCACTCTAGTGGCTACTGTTTTGATCCATATATCCTGGAAATTGGTCTTGAAGTTTGTTTTGATGATTTCTAGATAAAGTTCTAATATGGGTCACCTGGAGTCAAAAACTAGGTCACATCGCTCAAATATGGAAAAACCTTGTTAACATCCATACGCATTTTTGACTCCACTGTCATGAAGCTTGGTCAGGATGCTTGTCTAGGTTATTGCTCGGATGAGGTCGATGGGTCAGGTGAGCGATCTAAGGCCATTTATTTTATTCTGTTTCAGACGTTGTATAAAGCGGTCGATTCACCTCTTGAAAAGAAAAACATTTTTTAGAACCTTTGTTAAATGCTCCATTGACTTTTTTGTTTTAGAAAAACTATTCTTTAAGAAGAGGTACATGTAGTAATTTTCACAGATTAAAACTAAGGGGAAAATGTTCAAATGCTCAAAAGAAAGAAGAAACTTCGAAACCTATTTATAGCTAGTTTTCCACAAACATGTAATAAAGTATCTATTCTAAACAAGAACTTATCATTTTCCTAACAAATTTAATCATTATGAAATAAAATTGTTTGCAAAAAGTCCTCACAATGCAATCGAGTTACTTCAACTTTTATTTCAAAAAGGATAATTCAAAATATTAAAGTTGCATACGAACAGATTTTAACCCATTGTGGTCAAAATTAGGGTCGAGATGAAATCCAAAATATAACTCAGGTAAATATCGAGTATTAATACATGTTTTACATCAATATAATCTTAATTTTAAAATTAACAGAGCAGCGGGAAAATACTTCCATTGTTGTGCTTGGAACTCTTTTTGCTGTGTCTCTAATGGGTAATATCTTACTAGTGACAGGTTTGGTTCTTCTGAAATATCGCAAAAGGTAAAGTGTAGAATTGCTTTTGTTTAAATAAATTTTGAAAACATTACACCACATGAGTGACATTCGAATGTATTTTTAAACTAGGGTACTAATTGAATTATCCAAACTTTTTTTTAACTTAAATATTTGTACTTTTTTCGGTACTTTTTTGCCAATTACTTAAAATTTGAAATATTTGATAGGCAAAACAATATATGTCATGTACATGATAAAGTAAATCAGTTTAAATTGAACATTAATCTCATTTTATACCATCATCTGCAGCAAGCAAACGCAATTTACGGAAGAGAAGTATTAAATGAAACACAAATTTTGGTAACACAGACATTTTATTAAATTTATCTTGCAGAGCAACTAACCATGACAAGAAGAGAGGACAAATGTTCGAAAACTCTGGTAAACTGTCGTGTTTTTACTGTTACGCTGATAACAAAATCTTATTTGGATGAGTAAAAGTGTAATTGCCATAGATTTGATTATTTAATCATTTATATTTTTAAATAATTGTAATGAAATGCAAATATAACAAAATGACATTCTAGATATTGTTTGTTATTTTAGGCATTGACTTGGAATGGGACAATGTACCAAAGAACACTGATGGAACTCCAAAACGTAATTTCTTTTTATATATTGTTTGTTATCATTTTTTATGCTGTAATTAGGTTAGGTATTTTTATCACCTCCACCTTCTCCAAACAAAAACGAGAGAACCATTTAGTCAAAAGCTATAAGATTTGACAAGGAGCTTGGTAGACAGGTAGATGTTCTCTATTGATTTATACGTAAAAATGTTAAAGGTGGCATTGATCACTAAAAGCTTGTCCAACAAATTGCTAAAGAATGCTTAGGCCTACAGTCTAGAAGTTTGTGTGAATGGTGGTCATGTTTATATTGAGGTCACCCTATCAAAGGTCACACTTTGGCGTGGTTCCTAACATTTGGTTTTTAGGTCTCCATGTCTAGTAAAAGGCCTATTGACATTAAGCACGAAAAGCTTGGCTGGACAATAACTAGAGAACGTTTTGGCGTTAAGCGAGAGCATACTGTGATGTGTCCTTCGGTCCAGACGTCACCTTCTTCTTATCCGAGCAAAAACTAGACAACCTTTAGGTTTACAGATTTGGTGTGGAGGTTGGTCATGGCTATGTGACCTTTTTTTGGTAATAAGGTCGTAGGTAAAAAGGTCTCAATATTTTTTAGCCCAACAATCTTAATTATTGATTACTGTAGACAAGACAATTTTATATTACTAATTTTAGTAATTGTTATTTAGTATGAAATTGAAATGTGTACAGTTTGATTCATTATTATGAATAATATATACTGCTCAACTTTTGTTTAGGACCATAAGTTATTTTTTATTTTATCACAAGTATAAGACAGATTTCTTTCCGATTTTTGAAAATTCTGCTTCATCCCTGTTTTGATATAATCTCCCCGACATGAAGTCGTGTTGACTAATCTGTTACAACTCGTCTATGCAGCACCCGAATATTTTTATGTTTTGATGGGGTGTACAATCACACGTCTTTTATTACTAAGTATACGGCGACACTACCGGCTTATTGTCATACAGTGGCTTTCATTTCTTACATCTGTCACTTCGATATGACAAATGCAAACTTTAGGCGGCATTTGAGAGAAGCAGAATTATTGAGGGATGTTGGCATGGTGCAGCAGGGGGGCACCTTCCACCAGGTTGGTGCGGCACTTGATGTAAGGCACACTGTCATCACCAGAGCCTGGGAAGAAAATCGGCTACATGATACACGCGTCAGGAGGCATAACAGCAGCTCAAGATTGGTTTTTGGTCGTTCAGGTACGTCGTGAAGGTTTTCGAGAGCAACGAAATGACCTTGCTAATGCTGCGGGGGTTCTTGTTTCCACGCGGACGTTACGTAGAAAGCTGCATGAAGGTAATTTGTGGTCGAAAAGACCTTGTACACATCCCCTTGGCGCGTCGATATCGCCAGGCTCGTTTGGAATGGACCATAGAGTATGCACTGTGGAAATTGCAAATTGGAGACACGTTCTGTTCACTGATGAGTCCAGATTCTTCCTATACTTCACAGATGGCGTGCTAGAGTCTGGAGAAGAGCAGTTGAACGGTTTAAGGCTGCAAATATTGCTGCCTTTGACCGCTACAAAGATGGGTCAGTTATGGGTTGGGGAGGCATCAGCTGTGGTTGACGAACAGATCTGGTTGTGGCAAATAGAGGCAGATTGACAGGTAATCGATACATAGACGACATCTTAGTTAGGTTGTATGCTGGACCAGTCGGCGATCAGTTTATTGTAATGGACGATAAGCTCGCCTCGCCCCCTTATGGCCAGGGTGGTTCAGGTCTACCTAGAGAGGGACTGGCCAGCTCGATCACACTTAAATACAATACAACACATGTGGAATAAGCTGCAGGTTAGAATTTCAGGTCGTCAGCTACAGCCCAGAACCATCCGGGAGCTTGGAGCCATGTTAGTCTAAGAATGGACAGCCATACCCTTTAGAACGATCGGAAACTAAATACGGACTATCTGGAGGCGCTGCCAAGCTGTCATTCATAGTCACGGGTCACACACACACACGGTATTTAGTCTAAAACTGTAAACAAAAAAACAACAATTTTACAAATTTGGAAAACACGCTGCACTTTCAAAAATCTCCAAGAGCGGGAGTCATTCCCTTCTTTAGCACAAAATCAGTGTAAAACTCATTTATAGGGTTAAATTTCGTCCTTCAGCTGAATTGATAAAACAGTCAATCAACATTAAAAACTTTTCGCACGGCTTCTATAAAATTATCCTAAAAAATATTCACACTCAAACATATGGTGCTTAGCAAAAGCTGAGAATTACAGATTTTATACGAGATTTAAAGACTGAAGCATCACCTGATTACAACATTTTGGTATATACTGTATTTGTTTGTTTGTATCCTTGGGTGGCACACAGATAGAAGAAGATTTATGATTGCAGTACGTCTCGACTCCAAATTGTAAAAGAAATATAAAAATGTATTCTCTTTTTCAATTTAGAAATTATCTTTCCATACAGGATATCAACCATCATTCAAATATTTCAAAATCTTTAGATACATACAGGTAAAACAGTGTACATTCTGCTTTACTGCCATCAGAATATACCATCTTAATTGTCAAAACTATTGACTTCTTTCATCCTGACACCTTTCTAGATCGGGACGATAGCTGATAATCCCGAATTCTGCATTTCTTTTGCTACACAATACTTCAGGTAGATATGTCTACAATACAATACAACAAAGCATGTGTCTTTTAAGTTGTTTGTTATTTTCCTATCTTAATTGTCAAAAGATTTTACACACATAAGCTGTTTCATATTTTTTTAATATCTTTTGTACGCTCTGAAAGCAATACCATCTCATTTTATCCGTTAAGAACAAAACTATAATCATAGCATACCAAAATTTATTTTCGTATTTCTTAAATAATGATATTCCTTTTATAAGCTTGATATTTTCTTCCTCTACTTTTTTGACTGAATCGCTGTAATTCTCTTCAATGACTTTGACAAAATTTATCGAGCTATCAGAATTTACAGCACATGCGGAGAATTCAGCCGAGTCTTGAATGATAACTTCTTTCTAAACAGCATTGCCTGCAATTCGCTTTGCGGTGCCTCCGATTCCATAACAGGATGCCAAAAAAACTGCCATGATGACTTTATATTTTTAGACATAATTATTCATGTAGTGGAATATGATCTTGTTTCAATACTGAATGGTAGGAGAATCAGTCCAAAAATGAAAAGTCTGAAGATTATCAACATAGTCTTTTGTTAACTCGATGACCTTATCTGTGATTACTGTTACCAATGATGCATTATAACCACCGGAACAAAAGCCACACGTTTATGCTCAGGTCCGTCTGAAATATTTTTCTATATATAAAAGTTGGTTGAAGTGTCACATCGAAACTTTTCCAGTGAGCACTTTGAACTTCCTCCATTGTTTGCCTACAATGATTTTTCTTCAAAATCCATCTGGATAAGTGCGTGCATTATTAGTCTCTTCTCCTTCATCAGCTTTAAACCTTTAAATTGCTTGCGGACTCTATCTAAATAACTAGCAAAGTCATAATAGTCTTGTTTGATTACCGCTTTGAAATATATCAACAGCACGCATTTTCTTTCGAACGTTTTAAAATTTTAGTCTCTTCCACTATTTCTGAAATTTCACAATCGTTGCAACAATATTTTCAAGAAACATATATCAAGCTATTTCTGTTCTAAACGTCCCCATAAATTTATGAGGACTATTAACTTAAGTGATCTTTTAATTCTTTAGATATCTTAGTTTCAACGCATAATTCTTATTCGTTCTGACAGAAGCAAACACTCAAAGTTGAAAAAGTCGCATGAGTTATAGATAATATTTTTCTCCGATAGAAAGTTGCAAGTGAAATTATGTATGCATATGCAGTTGGGAATTTATCATGTTATTTGTATATTTATCATAGCATACGATTAACATGCTTTTGCTCTTAGTTTAAGCAACTTTTACAGCTTTTCCTGTACCAGACAATAATCTCGAATTGTCTCCTCTTTTAAGAAACTTCTTGATGTTTTTGCTTATATGACTGGTATTACAATTTTTTGGTCATTCAGTGAAGCAGCCTCCTTTATATTTTCAGACAAGCATTCTGCAAACACTCATTTCTGTTTGATCAAGGGAGCTTTTGTTTGTTCTATTCCATTGTATTCTTATTGTTTGTTTTTCCTCTTTGGTGTCAATGGTTTTCGTATGTCTTTCTGTTGCTTTTTAACGCTATTCTATTTAGTTTTTTTTCCTTGCTGAACTGAGTTTCCCTCTCAACGATTTATTATCTTCTTCTAACCGTTCGTCAAGTCTATATTGTTTTGCACTCATTCCCTACGACTTGAATGTCGACTTCTTTCAGGAACATAAAACTTCATTTTCACATTCAGTGGACTCATGTTGATTACTGTTGTGCTGCTAAGACCGTTGCAATCTTCCGTTGTTGTGCTTACACTGTCATCATTAACCCTAGATGGAAGTGAAATTGTTTTCACCAGTTTTGGTTCCTACTTGTATGTTTCACTGTGTGTTTTCTTAAGTGGCCGCTTGTGTTCTTGCTCCTTTTCTGTCATATTACTATATCAAAGATAAATACATTAAGGTGAACTATTTTGGATCATTAAATTCAATCTTTACAGAGAATTATAACCTCTGTAATAATTTCTATCAAGCTTTGTTTTCTTAACATATTGAGAGCATTTTGACTAAGTTTTAAAAAGAAAACAACATTAAAATATTCAATTGTTAAAAACTTTACCCAGATAACGCAATGCTAACACTGGATCATGTTTATTTTTTTCATTTACATGCACATTTTATTCAAACCAGGTAAAAGTCCCCATTTATAATAAATGAATACCCATTTTCCTCTTTACTGATGTCACGTACCTGTTTCACCTCTTGTTTGGTATATATCAATATATAATTACTTAATTTGGAGCTACTGAATTTCTACTTGGTCAAATCCGTCCTATTTGGATAGGAATACACATGAAAGGTGATATATGCCGGTCATTATTCTAAAGGCATGTATAATGATAATAATAATAGTAATAATAACTTTCATTTTGAGGAGGTAACTTAAAGCACACAAAAAAGGATGCATTTTTTAACAGAATCAAAATTTTATAATTGTGGGTTCTAAAATTGAGGTGAAAATCATATTTTATTTCAGAGAAAGTCTTTAGATACAAAATTAATTATTTTTCATAAGACAAACTGTTTTGGTTCCCCTTTTCTGATTTATCATGATTTGCTTTGCTTAATTCCATATGGTAGTAAACTATTGTTTTGTGTGGTTATCTTTTGTAAATATAGTAAGTCTTCACAGACACATCTTAGAAAGGGTCAGTATACGATGCAACCCACGTTTTTTATACTAAAGACAGCATTGTATCAGTTGAAACCTTTATCTCAAGTTTTTGAATTTGTAGAAGTTTAGACTCGTCTCATTGATATAGAAGATATTTATATACTTTTATATCTGATATATTCCATCAATATTTAATAGTACCATATCTATTGAACATTTTTAATAGGAAACATTGACTTCCTATGCATTTTATTTTATCTAAATTTTTCAAATGAAGGTATCAAATTATGAACCATGAAGTTCATAAAGCAAAGTATTTATTTTTTCAGTGTTGTTGCACGATATTATCATTAAAACAGTACATGACAATGTGACGTTAGCAAAATAAAAAATTACAGCAAAGGAGGCAATTTATATTTGCGTTATCAAAGTGTTGATGAAAATCACCGAAAAAAGTTATCATTGACTTATTTAAATGTTATAATGCCTTTTTGTGTTAATCCCTATTTGCATTATTTGAATTTTTTCTATTTGATATCATACAGACTTATGTAAAAAGTTCTTTTATAATTTCAACATTAAAATTAAGTAGAGTTTAGATCGTATTTCATTTAAACATTTAAGGGTTGCAATACTGGGACAACTTACTATTAAAAAATGAAGTATGTTTTTATGAATGTTTTAAAAAAATTTTCAGCATCAGCATCAACAAGCGACAATAGGGTAACATCGCGCGAGTATGAGGACCTTGGAGACGCTTAAGGTATTTGTAACTTAAACTTTACATATGATAACTTGCGTAGAGATTTAATTGTTTATAATAAAAAACGATTGTCACAAAGAAATCAATATTATTCTGCATTGTTAATTGATTTGATGTTAATATTTTGATGGTTATTTTCATTTATGTCTTGTCTGTTTACAGTTATAGAGCAGGAATATGGGAACATCCAACCAGACGATTAACTGTCATGACTGATTAATAACACGTGATATAAAATTTTATTTCTACTAACCATACAGAACGATGTTTCTGCTATGATGAATGTTTCTATGTATTTGATTATTTGATAAGTGTATCATAACTCAAAATTAAACTATCCATCATCATGTTGTGAAAGGACATCAATTTTGCTCCAATTATTCAAATCTTGTCAAAGTTTGTTATATACCATTAAATATAATTTGCTGTGTTTGATGCATTCTTTATTTTAAACTCTCCCTTTCCTTATGATTATCAAAAGCCACTAGCTTCGTTGCAAATATTAGATGTGAACATTATTCATACATTGATTTACCTATTTTATGTGTTATTTCGGAGTCATTATAAAATCTTTCTTTTTTAATCTTATCTTTATATATCTTTATCAAAGGAATAAAACAATATTATTTTATTGCCCATTAAATTTAGTGGAAACAGAATATCATTTCTTATTAATATGCCCAAAATATCACAAGTTACGTAGAAAGTTTTTTAAACAATATTTTTGTAGATGGTCTATAGTGTAGAAATTCGAAACACTTATGACAAGCACAAATATCATCAAAACAATTTGTTATGTGTCAAGTTATCTGTATTATGCATTTAAAGAAAGGACATAACTTTAGGTTTTAGCCTTTTAGTGTCCGTAAACACTCTTTTTTCCTTATGCAGACGGGGGAAAGGGAGTTAACTATGACAAAAAATGCTTAGTACATTTGACGGTTATGTTATCTTAGAAATATTAATAATTGCCGTTAAATGTCTTTTTACATTGTTTAAGTACATTTGTGTCTCACATGTATAAGTATGTTTATGCAACATTTGTCAACTTAAATTGAAAAGTTACATGTTCATACATTGTGTTATTCCTAACCTTTGTTTATACTTGTCAACAATACTTCTCAGCTTACTTACTGTAACTTATAACACTCTACACAACACTATATATATGAATTAATAAGTACTATATCTCAATTTTGTAATGCTTCCATCAATGTCATTCTTATTGGTTTCACTACTTTACCTTATGATTCTAATGTATCAATCTTTAAATCAGTTCAAAAATATATCCGAGATACAAAACGATTTTAGCGTACTTAAAACCAGAGATGTCTTAACATATTTGACGTTTACTAGATTATGCATCTTAGTTCCTCGTTATTGTTCCATCATTGTTCATCCATTTCTTCCTTCCTTTTTCTAATATTTTTTTTCAATATTCAGTGTATATCTATTGTGCGTATCTAATAATATACAGATGTAAGCAACCAAATAAGATATTATTTTGCTTCTTCTTACTTAATTCTAAAACGAAAAAATTACTAAAATATGTGTTTGTCTATTTGTACTTTTTTGTGAGTTGCTTTATTCTTCAATCATTTTTTTCTCCTTTTTACTGATGCTCTTACATATGTTACATTGTTAAATACTTAACTCTTTACTATTATGTAAATGTCTTTGAATACTTCAACTAACCGTTGTGTATGATAATGCCATGAACTGTGTTATTGTAAACTATTATAACTGGGGGAGGACATTCATAAGCTTTATAGCTTTCTCCCAATTCCAAAATGTACTTTGTAAATATTGTTCACTTGTTAAATGTTTTGTTGAATAAATATGTTTAAACCAACACTATAATATATGAATTGTATGACTATAAATTGTATGTATGGAAGTCTATGTTTAATAAAATATATCTCATGTTATATGTTACTTTATGATTGATTATTTGTATAATTAATTAATTTAACATTTAATCAACGATATGAATACCGAATCTTTCTCATGATTCATTAACTCATTTGATACCTTATACGAGATTTCAAATTTACATTTTCGTTGTCCAGGTGCAAAAAATAGCAGCGTTAATGTTTACGAATGTATTTTTACACGTACTGAAAAATATGTTGACTGACAATTTTATTACGGAATGTATAATATGAATTGATAATAGCCAAAGTTTGACTTTGTTTAGAGAATTTAAATAGGACCTAGAGTTATCAGTATATCTCATGAAAATAAATAATTTCAATCATAGACAAATAATACCAAAAATAACGATGTCGTTGCATTGTCTTAATATCGAACATGGAAGACATATGTGACACACTAACAATTGGAGATGAACACCTTTCTGTTCTGGGATGTAACATTTTCAATGATCTATGCATGGACTATATTCCTAGATTTTATAGGCAGAGACCTAGTATGATGAAATTTGTTGAACTTATGGACACAGAGAACAAACGATTTCTTCATAATATCGCATTATACTTGTTAAAGTCATTTAAAAAGACATAGTTATTAAACCGTGATTAAAATACAACCCCTCGTAAATATTATAACAAAAATGATTTATATAAGAAAAGGTTTGCCATGAATTGTTTGTAAGTATATACTGTTTGTATATGCGTGTATGCTGTATCATGCATACAACGCAATAAACCTTCTGTTCTGTTTTGTTTTGCTAATTATACATATTTGTATTCATGAAAAAAATTAGAAGAAAATGAAAAAATGAATCTTTTTTTCCGCTGTCTTCGTTTAATTGTTACATTTATTTTTACGTATTTTGTTTTAAAATATTAGCAATTTATAATTAATGCACGTATGATGTATTTGATAATATATGCATGTATACTGCAATGATCTACGATAATAGTCAGACCCTTCTGTGAATTTTGAACTTATGTACCATTATTCCATGTGTATAATAATATTGATAATACATTTTACACAATCTTATAAACATTTCCGTTTTAAAAGTTTATGAGTATTGACATGTCAAATGCATACTGATTACACAATATATATTAATCTTCGATAGATTTTCGATAAGTTCCGTGAGCAATACATTACTTAAATCTTCCATATTAATTCTCGTAAGCTTTACTGACAAACCCGAATTGGGACGGAATATTTAAATGAGTGCTATAATGTATTCATAATTGACAGGTCAATAAAATCAAACTATGTTTATGTAAAAATTGATCTATTCAAAAACAGGTTTTATTGCATGGCTAAAAATAGTGTTTTTTGGGGGGAAATCCACGTCTTGATCTACGGAATATGTGATCAGATCTACTTAACAGAAATAAGTAGATCTGAATTTTAATCAGATTGGTCTAAATATTTGTGATAAACAATAATCGCGTCAGAAATACAGAAATATACGCGAAAGATTTCTCACTAATTTAAAGTGTCCAACTACAGTAAATAATCTTCTTTACGGCAACGAACATCTCTCTTCTGATGAAAACAAAACCCTCCTTCAGTATGTCCAAGAAATTATTACACAATCGAAGCGATTTTGTAAGAATTAATATCAGTGTGGATAAACTTGGTCTTTTCGTACGCTCATATTTCCTTACATGTTAATCTTAATTAATAAAACTCCGATATATTCAATCATACCTTTCCTTACATTCTTCCTTTCTTTTAGCATTTCACCATAATTTACCTTAGTTTCTCTTTAGTGATAATTCAACAATCAATTTTTCTCTTATTCTTTGTTGTACATTCAAAGAGCTTACATCTAACCGCAACATTTTTGTATCTTTATCTTGAAAATTACTTTTACTGGAGAGGAATTGAAATCCAGTCTGAATTACATTGTTGTGCAATGTTTGTAAATGTCATTTATGTACAATTTATTGAATAAATAAAGTTTAAACTAATTGCGTCGACGAAAAAAGAAGATTTTATGTATGTTATTAATAGAAATTTATAGTCGTGTAGCTTCATTACTAAATCTATTGAACTTTTTAAGTAAAATGATATTATTTGCTTATGTAATTTTATCCTATACTGTATGTATTGAAGTAAGGATATAAATAAATGAACGGTTTATTTATAACGCGATCATACCATACCTAAATATAGACAGTATCGATTCACAAATATATACGCAAAGTTAAACCACATTTAGTCGAGTGTCGGCATAGTCGAGTATGGAACGCCTGGACTGTCTTATGTGTAGAATGACTGATATACATGGTTAAATGTGATTATGTTGAGTCCGAGATACAATATGCTGGGTCAAAATCCCAATATACTGGGTGGAAATCCAAATGCGCTCAGTTATTGAAGTGTAATGTTGTGTGCTGACTGTATTTTATTCAGTCAAGTCAATGTATTGTCGGGTGCATAAGTCGTTATGTTCAGTTCTTAAAACAAACAGGCATGTGGTAACACAATTATGTTGAGTTAAAAAGATATGTTGTAGGGTATGACAGTTGTTATGTTCGGTTGAAATAGCTCTTCTCATCATGTTCAACCATAAAAATAAACTGTTAAGTGGTACTATCATTTCGTTTGGCTGAGGCAGTGTATTATTGGGTGATCCTTTTATCATTTTCAGTTGAAATGACATGCTGTTGGGTGCTTTATTCAGACTGTTCAGTCGTGAAATAGAACTGTTGAATAGTACTATCATTATGTTCAGTTCAGATGATGTACTGTTCGGTGCAGAGGTCATTCTGTTAAGTAGTGAACACAAAATGTTGTGTGATACCGTTATTATGTTCAGTTCAGATGATATACTGTTCGGTGCAGAAGTCATTATGTTCAGTTCAGATGATGTACTGTTCGGTGCAGAGGTCATTATGTTCAGTCCAGGTGAATTACTGTTCGGTGCAGAAGTCATTATGTTCAGTTCAGATAATATACTGTTCGGTGCAGAAGTCATTATGTTCAGTAGTGAACACAAACTGTTGTGTGATACCGTCATTATGTTCAGTTCAGATGATATCCTGTTTGGTGCAGAGGTCATTATGTTCAGTAGTGAACACAAACTGTGGTGTGATACCGTCATTATGTTCAGTTCAGATGATATTCTGTTCGGTGCAGAAGTCATTATGGTCAGTTCAGATGATATTCTGTTCGGTGCAGAAGTCATTATGGTCAGTAGTGAACACAAACTGTGGTGTGATACCGTCATTATGTTCAGTTCAGATGATATCCTGTTTGGTGCAGAGGTCATTATGGTCAGTAGTGAACACAAACTGTGGTGTGATACCGTCATGATGTTCAGTTCAGATGATATTCTGTTCGGTGCAGAAGTCATTATGGTCAGTAGTGAACACAAACTGTGGTGTGATACCGTCATTATGTTCTGTTCAGATGATATCCTGTTTGGTGCAGAGGTCATTATGTTCAGTAGTGAACACAAACTGTGGTGTGATACCGTCATTATGTTCAGTTCAGATGATATTCTGTTCGGTGCTGAAGTCATTATGTTCAGTAGTGAACACAAACTGTGGTGTGATACCGTCATTATGTTCAGTTCAGATGATATACTGTTCGGTGCACAAGTCATTTGACAATGCGCTGAGTGGTCATACAATTATGTTGGGTTCATTCGGATTTCTTCGCGTCAAACAAGATGGCGGGCGGGAGCAACTAATTTCCATAGGTCACGTCGAGGCTAATGACCACTAAATTGCCAAAACAATTACCTATTTGAGTCACACATGGCCACAGTATAAAGAACGTTAAATATAAGTATGGAACCCCCATTTGAGACACACATGACCACAGTAAATGGAACATTATATATAAGTAAGTGTGGCCTAATAAAGTCAAACATGGCCAAAGTATAAAGAAAATTCTTTATAAGTAAGTGAAACCTAATTGAGTCACATATGGCCACAATATATTAGACATAATGTTTAAGTCAGGGAAATGTATTTGAGTCTAATTTTATTAGGCTACCCTTACTTATATATAATGTTCCCATATACTTTAGTTATGCGTGACTCAAAAAGGTTTCCCTTACTTAAACATAATGTTCCATATATTTTGGCCTAGTGTGACTCAATTAGGTTTCCCTTACTTATATAGAATGTTCTTCATAATGTGGGTATGTGTGACTTTATTGCGCTACCTTTACTTATATCTAATGTTCCATATACTGTGGCCATGTGTGACTCAAATAGGTTTCCCTTACTTAAATATTATGTTCCATTTATTGTGGTTATGTGTGACTCAAATGGGTTACCAACAAATACATTTTAAGTCGTATATGCTGTGGCCATATGTGACTTTAATAGGCTACCCTTACTTATATGCTCCATATACTGTGGCCATGTGTGACTCAAATAGGGTTCCCTAACTTGAATATGATGTTTTATATTTTAAATTTCGTTTGCTGTGTCCATTTGTGACTCTTATAGGTTACCAAAAAGATAAATTTTAAGTTTTATTTACGGTGGTCACGTGTGACTTTAACAGGCTACCCTTACCCATATTTTAAGTTTTATATATACTGTACCCATTATGACTGTAACAGTATAGTATAGTCATGAATTAACTAATAAATACCCATAGGGTATTTAAAAGTCCAATTTATGAAAATAACGTTCTTAAGCCCCCCGATAATATTTATAGGGAAGAAAATTGTTTTGGCAATTTAGTGGTCATTAGCCTCGACGTGACCTCTCCCATCTTGTTGCCCGAAAATATCCGAATGAACCCAACATAATGGTTGTATCACACAACAGTTTGTGTTCACTATTGAACATAATGACCTCTGCACCGAACAGGATATCATCTGAACTGAACATAATGATAGTACCAAAAAACCACTGAACATAACGACCTATGCACCGAACAACACATTGACTTGACTGAAGAAGATATAATCAGCACACAAGATAATGATAGTACCATTTAAGATAATGATTGTACCATTTAACAGTTCTATTTCACGACTGAACAGAAGGAATAAAGCACCCAACAGCATGTCATTGCAACTGAAAATAATAAAAGTATCACCCAATAATACACTGCCTCAACCAAACAAAATGATAGTACCACTCAACTGTTTATTTTCATGGTTGAACATGATGAGAAGAGCACCAAACAGCATATTATTATAACCGAACATAATAACTATAACACCCTACAACATATCTTTTTAACTCAACATTATTGTGTTTCCACATGCCTGTTTGTTTTAAGAACTGAACATAACGACTTATGCACCCGACAATCAATGACTTGACTGAATAAAATACAGTCAGCACACAACATAGCACTTCAATAACTGAGCACATTAGGATTTCCACCCAGCATTTTGTATCTCGGACTCAACAGAAAGACATTTAACCAGGTATATCATTCAAACTTAACATAAGACAGTCCAGGCGTTCCATAGTCGAGTGGTTACTTCGCTTTGAATGGTTCAAAATTTGTCTGTCACACAAACTTATGCGGGTTCGATTCCCGTATGAACCACTGACGCTAACTGGCACTTTTTCTCTTTCTTGAGTTGTACATTATCATAAACTGGATGACTTATTCACAGCAAACCTGCATGTTTTCGAAATGCTTAAACAATAATTGAATAATTTCAATTTAATAATTGACAGACATAGAATTATGAATTTTACCTTTTTCTCTCTCAAATTATAGTCCCCCTCAAGAGTATTATACAAAAAAGAGTAAAATGAAAAAAAATCAACAAATGAAAACGGAAAAGATTGAAAATCAAATACTTTATTTTTGATTTCTTTTCTATTATCAAGACAATTTTGTTCAATTTATAAAATCATTGTTAGTTGTACAAATGAATGATAAACCTCGCTTATTAGATAGGTTACAAACTTAGTACGTAGATATTTATTAAGGTTAAAACACACATATACATAATACAAACACTTATGCAGTTTTATATAAAAATATATTAAAACAAAATAAGTATTTCGGAAGTTTCGGCTTAAAAAGTCAATAAAATCAGTTTATTTATTTGGATTAACTCTATTAATAACTGTTCAACCCCTTGTTTATTAAGTTCGTGAATAAACTTGGTCTTTCCGTACGCTCATATTTCCTTACATGTTAATCTTAATTAATTAAACTTCGATATATTCAATCATACCTTTCCTTACATTCTTCCTTTCTTTTAGCATTTCACCATGATTGACCTTAGTTTCTCTTTAGTGATGATTCAACAATCAATCATTCTCTTATTCTTTGTTGTACATTCAAAGAGCTTACATCTAATCGCAACATTTATGTATTTTTATCTTGAAAATTACCTTCACTGGAGAGGAATTGATATAAGTATTGTTTTACTTGTTTTCCAATCCAGTCTGAATTACATTGTTGTGCAATGTTTGTAAATGTCATTTATGTACAATTTATCGAATAAATAAAGTTAAAACTAAGTTCGTGTAAAAAGCTTGAAAAAAACGTATTGAAAATGTTGTGCAAATTGTTGATTTCTCAACATTTTTTCTGTTATAAATTTCAGTTTCTACAATTCCGGTTTTTTGCGTTTGTGTGCCTTTTAGCCCATTTTATGCTCTTTATCATCGCTAAAAAATGTTTATTCTATTTTTTTTCCAATGCAAACTTATTACATTATCTCTACCAACATGCTTATTGAATGCACAAATTTGCCAAATAATACTTATTTATTACATTACTTTTAAGTCATGATTAAAGTTACCTTTTTCTGAAAAAAGAGTCCTTATAATATATATGCGTTTGTTCATAAAAATGTATGTTAATCCGAAACTGAATGGTAAATTTTGTGTAAATTGTGCAATCATGTGTCTTTTACGTACAAAACTATACTCTGTCGTTAATTTTTCAATTCCATACAGTGCCCATTATGGTGGTTATTCTTTCAAAAAAAAGGAAATTCAGTTCGCAATTTCGTTAAAAAAGCATAAAACATTTTCGAGTAGAATTGATAGTTATCCTAGCATAATTGTGTCATATTCTGCTACCTGATAATCATAATCAGAAGTGAAATACCTTATTTTTACATGCTTTACTTAGTAAAAGAAATAATGTAGTTTATTTGAGTTTTGAACCAGGCACATGTTTATATTATTCCTTGCTATTTTAAGAAAATTATGTCGTTAAGACATACATGTATATGTATTTGAGTTTATACTGTTTTCTTATCAACCCGTTTGGGTATAATACAATTTTTGTTTCGCTAAAAGTGGTGACTGTTTAATTGCATTTACAGGAACCGAGAAAATTCACATAATACCAGTCAATATCATTTTTCTGGGATGGGTTTTATTTATCAGAGTAAAGAAAACAACACAAATGTAAAGTTTTATTGCTAAGCATAAACACAACGGCAAAAAAACAATAAATTGTTAAAATTTAAACCGCATCACGTGTCTCATTGATGAGTAACTATAAAATTAAAGCTTGTAAATCTTTAAAGTTAGATTTTACTCTAGATGGGCATTTAGATATATTGATACTTTTCGCGTGATCTTGATTTCAATATTTTATTAATTAAATACAATCGGTGTCAACATGATGGCAAGGAATAGCGGACTAACTATTTCTTCAATGAGCCTAAAAATTGGTACTCTGTTACTATTTGCTGGATTTATAATTCACGTTGTTGGATTTTCGATTGCGAAATGGGCGTCTCTGAATATGTCCCATTCTAGTAACTGGCTCAGCTTGCAAACGTCTTACCATGTTGGATTATGGGAACATTGTGCCTGTGTAAAGATAATCGGGAAACAATGCAAATGTTTAAGGAGAGACGGAGATCAAGGTTTGTATGTAAAGTATATATCTAAAATGTAACGTTTTGAAGACCATTTAATAAGATGAAGAATATTCCTCAGATTAATGAACACCTGTATCTTTTAAACATACAAAGTGCTGAGTATCAATGATAAGCCTATATTATCAATGGATGCCAACGATTTTGTATATAATATACTTCTTATTTTCTAAATTAGTATATTATATCCGGTATTAAATTGTTTATTCGTGTTCTAAAACCATTTGTTGATTAACAAATAAACTCTATTTTAAGCATGGTTTAAAGCAGTACAAGTCATGGAGACTTTGGGTCTAATTGGATTGGTTTTTACTGGAATCATCTGTTTGATTCTTGTATGTTGGAGACAAACAAAGGCATTGAAGAAATTGAATATTTTCTCGATTTTATGTTCAAGTAAGTCATTGTACAACTTGCAAAAACAATCTAATATTTATAGGTAAATATTTACGCGAAATCACACTCACAAATAAACGTGCAGGTGCGCACGCATTGCATTGTGAAACTAAAGCAATATTTTCTTTACAAATATACACTCCTTTGAAATCGTCTGTACTACACTTACGAAATTACGTTGTTATTAGGTGGTTTTTTTTAAACCGCCATTCAATGTATTAATCACTATAACCACAACAAAATCATTATTCATTTGTTTTATATACCTTTGCTCTATTTTGAAATATAAAGTATAATTCGTTTCAAAATGAGTTTTCTACATGTTTCGAAGTCATCAAAAACTGTGTAAACCACATTTGACGAAATACAAATATGCTAACAGTTTGAAATATTTTTCATTCAACTTACATTCCATTGTAGGTGTTTTCATTATCATCGGATTAATTATATTCGGAGTTGAAAACGCAAATAACTTTAATGCCCTGGTTGAAATTATCGGCGCAAAAGACACAGACGGAAAACCTGGCACATCCTTCTTCTTATGCACTGTTGCCGCAGGAGTATCCTTACTTGCATGCTTGCCTCTATTCTTGATTGACCTGAAAACTCAAATACCAGAGTCTACAGACCCGGGACACCAAATGTATCAGTGGACTGTGCAATACTCGAGTCAAGGTCATGTCATGAGTGTGTCACCTCATCAGGTACATGTTATACCGGATGTATCAGGTCAGCAACCACAGACAAGTTCTGTGCCAGCATACGGACCTTACAGTGTGCCTCCACCGTACACACCACAAGCGTCCTGGGGATATAACACGGCTAGTCCTCCGCCACAGCCAGATGGTATACCTTACAAAGAATAAGAAAGATACGGGAACATGATAACGTTTTAGAGAGACCTGACGTGAAAATGAACATTGTGAAATTCATACAATAACTTATGCAATTCTTTCACTAATATTTACCTTTTTTGCATAGGTTTAACATTGTACGGTGTCAGTCTAAACACATTTGCAGTATATTTTTTAGAGTATATCAGTCATATTTAATGAAATTGCACAATTAAAAAGGTCCCGCCTGCTGGCGCGTAGTAGATATTTTATCGTTTTGCCCAGGGAAATCTACTGTGTTGAGTGATATAACCCTTACATTATTTCAGTATATGAATAACATTGTTTTTTATCTTCAACAAATACCACTTGTTTGGTGGACAGCAGTGCACTTTAATGTACATTTGTAATTGTAAATATGTTAAAAATGTGCTAGAGTTTAAGTAAAACTTCATGATTATTTTCTGGCTCGAAATGACGAATGAACTCACGAAAATATTAGTATAAAGATCTACACGAAATTTTGTGAAGTGCATTATACTTAGCCCAATAACCTCGACATTCCTGCATCATATTTGAATCTAAACACAATTCCATCGATCTCAGCACAGTAACTCCAATATTATGTACGTATTATGCTATTTGTGTGTTATTTGGAAGGACACATCCAACACACATATAAGTTATAAACTAACGGTGAATAGTGTAATTATCAAGCTAGGGTAGTGTCCTATCGCCTAAGCAAATCAGAAAGTTATTGCTTACGTGACTGTTAAAGAAGTAGATTTTATAAGGAAGGGAATTTATGGGAGTTTCGTCGCACCTATACTGTAAAGCTAGGTTATATCATTTCATCCCAGTTAAACGGACATAGAAAGCTCTAATGTGTGCCTTCGTTCATTATTTAAGGCGCAAACGGCCAATTGAGTAGAACCACCGACGTCCCGTAAGCTTGTTGGATAGTTTCAACGCATGAAAACAATCTGAAACCCCTGACGAAACTCGAGATGAGGGGCAATGATTTGAATTCAAAAGCTTTAATCTGTTGGCTTCAGTGGTTGCTAATTTGTAATATGTCGGTGTAACATGTGACCATCTACTATTATTGTTCGAAAACTTTTGACTTCCCCACTGCGAAATATATTACCTTACATACAAATAATGCGACGCTGTTTTATCATAACAATCAAGCATTCTGGTTACCAATTTACGACAATCATATTTCTCGAAAATTATCAATAAGTTCTCAGATTCATCATGACATTATGAAAAAAAGGTCATCGGTCAAATTATGACTCAAGAGGGCCAAAATTCTTCGCAAGGGTAATTTTTATTTGTTTGGGTCGTTAGAATAATGTGGTTTTCTTCAGGCCCTTTACATATAACTTCACCGTGGCCGAGGGGTTTGCGCGCTCGCTTGGGAAGCGAGAGGTCTGGAGGTCAAATCCCAGTTTAGGCAACACATTTTTTTTCAAATTGTTTAAGTCTCACAACCTTCACCTTTCTGACATTCTGAGACCCAAACAAATTCAGCGCCTCCTGTGCTTTGATTTAACTTGTGGAGTGGCATAATACATTGACCGGGGTGTCGATATTGTTAGAAAATATTGACCGGGGTCATAATTCAAAAAGGGTCACTTTACATCTTTACTGGTGTAAACTCAAAAACTCCCTCGACAATGTGTCTTGCTTTTACACAGGACATCGGAAGATATTACTTCATAATTTGGAGAAAAAAAAACATTAACAAATATTTATCTGCCAGTTTCTTTTTCTAAATGGTTCTTTGCTAATAACGATATGAAATGAAAGCGTGGACTATCGTCGCTGTGCTTAGACCTTATCAGAGCTCATAATCTTGGACGGACGACCTTTCTAATAAATGTGCGTTTCATAAGTATAAACCCAAAGATTGAGAAATTTATGTACGCTTAATAAAGAAAGAAATTTAACAAAAGGTTTCTCAATGTCTATAAGTAAGACAAATCATGTGATAATTACTAACACGAGCCTGAAGAAACAAGACTTGAGTTTAAAACGTTTTATCCAAAAATGGTTTTAAAATTCAACAATGTTATTTAAAACACCTATTAAACGAAATCGGTGAATTTGAAGAAACAAAAAAGTTAAACGGAGATCAAATTAAAATGTGTGTCTGCAAGGTAAAATTTGTATAATAAATGTTTTATTTTAACTGTTAAACGAGTTTCGAAGAAAAGGTAATACATGATTATGTCTGTTAAAAAAGGATCATTAATTAATTATATTCAATGACGTTTGGAAAGAAAGTGCATATGAAACGCTATACTCGACGTTACATTTGTAATGTATTTATCAACCTGGGACAGATGCATACATGCATGCAAATTTATCATTGTTTTATGACAGATTATTCAGTCTAACACCTATATAACGTTAGTGCTCCATCTCATCAAAGGAATTACATGTATTGAAATTAACGACGATTTAAGTTTGCCTTTTTGTTTCACCTGTTTCACAACAGTCTTGCATCACTGAAAAAGCATCCAACGATTTAATTATGATTGTTGTAAGCAAGTCATTTTCAGCAGCAAGTGTAAGCCTGAAAATTGGAACTTTGATACTGTTTATATGTTTGATAATACACGTTGTTGGATTTACAGTGGCAAGATGGGCATCGGTCACTATTTCGGTGGCGAATAACGGGACCGGTATTCAAACATTTTACCATGCTGGTTTGTGGTTACATTGTGGATGTGTAGACCTCGGTGAAATATCCTGTATTTGTTATTCTAGAGGAGGTGATCCTGGTATGTATTTGATACGTGTTATTGTGGTGTTGTTGTGGTGGTATTTGTTGTACCCCATCCCCGTTTTTATGATTTTCTTGCCTGCAGAAAATGTAGACTTAAAGGCCAATTATGCCACATAAATGTTTTTTTTTGCAATAAGTACACTTATAAGTATTTTGTATAGAAGTCAACTACTTTGTTTACATTCTGGAACTTTTTTAATGACAACTAAAAAGATTCAATGCTACTTTTTACAGGTGATAAATATCTAACACGCTTTAAAAGCAGTATTTAACTGCTATAAAACTCATGTTTGCCCTTTCTAAAGAAGTAAACATTTAATTGTTTTGGAGGCATAATGTGTGTGTGCTTTTAAATAAAATTGGTTCTTAAATTCCTAGAGAAAATACAATTAAATTATTCTATCAAACTATTCTGTTTTCATGTCTCATTGGTGTTATATAATCATACATAATTTATAAGCTGATTGGCTTCGTCGTACGATTATAAAACTTTATAAGTGATAACACTACTTTACTAGCAAGTCCGTTACAAATCTCATTGCAATAAATGCATTTAGGATAGAAAAATCAACAACAACACGCGAATTTTGATTAATTGTTATTCATCAACGTTTCGGCCTACGCCTTAATCAAGATAAACACTTTTTGACTATTAATGCAAGTAACAACGCACAATATCGCACGATCTGGTGTATTTTCCGGCTAAAAAACATATTTGAGCCATGTCACGACACAACCAACATAATGGGTTTGCGACCAGCATGGATCCAGACCAGCCTGCGCATCCGCGCAGTTTGATCAGGATCCATGCTGTTCGCATACCAACTCTATTACAAGTAGAGAGACTGATAGCGAACAGCATGGATCCTGATCAGACTGCGCGGATGCTCAGGCTGGTCTGGATCCATGCTGGATGCAAACGCACTATGTTGGTTTTGTCATGAAGCGGCTCATTTCACCATCAAATTGTCATTGACTGTTTGAGTCAACTTGTCGCCGGAACAATCCCTTTGCATGCCCAAAATGAACTTGTTTCATTTCTGTTGTTCATTTTTGTGCCATTATATGCGACTGGTAACGTCCGACCGCTCCCCCAAACAGACTATTACCTTATTATCTAAATAGAAACTCAGATTCCAGCAGAGAATAACCATACTTTCGTCGGTGACGTCAAATAACTCACAGGTACAGAAAATTACCAAATTAGAAAGTAAATTTATTCAGCAAATCGTAAAAATGTTAACCTCCTAGATATTCATTGAGATATGTATCTGTTTATATTCATTGTGTACGTATGGTGCAGAACTACGTCTGAAATCTTTAACTTAGAATAAGAAATATAGCAGTTCATTGACATTAATACATTACTTGTTACGTTAAAAAAACTGTTTCATCAAAGCAGCATGGGTGATTTAGAAAAATAATAAGTTAATTTATTGAAGTGATATTAAGATGTAAATTTTTAATATGAATTATGCTAACTATCGTCAATTAATATTATTTAAGGGTGTCAAACGTATCAATTTACATAAATTATCCGCCCTAGTGAAACACACTTGATATCTGTACCATATGTCACACGGTGAAAGATACTTCAGTTAGTTTGATCTCTTATACTGACAAAAATATTCTTTCTTTGATTTGACATAAAGAAAAGTATTCCGACTTAAATCGTAAAAACGACACGGCTACAATTTAATGACGTTAATAAATCACAATTTACGATGTTTATTTCTAATTAAATGCAGAATTAATTGTTTTCTAATTATTTTGTAAAATGCTCGTTTTAATAATCTTATTTCATAAATCGGAATAACAACAGCAATTATGTCATATTAATTTTCTACCTGCAAGGATGTAAAGATACTTAAAATATTTACTCCTCTCGTTTTACTTATTTGGTCGTTGTTGTAGCTGTCGGTTTGAATGTTCTTTCGGATACAGCATAATTAAGGGCCGCCAATATGTCAACAGTCATGAGGGTCTTAAAGTCACAGTATGCTTCTGAAATGTCTTACATTTCCTTAAATAATGATCTAAGTGCGTGTTAGATGTTTTACAAATGAATGAAATAGCGCTAAACATGCAGTTTTGTGTCGTAAAGGTAACAATATGTAAACAAAGTAGTATTTTATATTGAAGTCAAAATTCAATATAATTACACCAATTTCCAACAAAACTAAAGATGCAAAAGATAGTTCATGAAGATAGCAAATGAGTATGTTTTTTTAAACTGTAACAAGATAACAAAAAAGTTTGAAAATAAAAATGATAGCATTTCTGAGGCATAATTGACCTGAAATAGATAAGTGGATAAAAGACATGGGGATAATCTACCAATTCTCAAGCTCCGCAAGCAAAATAGACAGAACAGTGAGATTTGTGGATGTACGTAGCCTTTTCGGCTTCTATGTTCAGTACATCTTGAAAGAGAGGAAAGTGTAAGCGAGAGAAAGATTCGGTCCCTCCTATTTAATAGCAAGCACCAAGCAAAATGTTGGAACGTTTACTTCTTATGTGTGTCATAGCAAGAACGCACCATTATCAGCTTCACCTTGTGAATTTTCTCGTCATGGAAATGAGTTGTATATTTGTGAAGGAAAACTGCCATGATCAAATCTGTATATACAAATATAATTTATTGAGGAGTGATTCGTAAAAGGCGTATCATCATACAAAATATGATTTAATCATGAGTATGATGTAAATACAAACAATACCTGTTGTACCAAAATAAAGAATGTTTATCAAAGAAATATCATCACTTACGTTTGCAACAAAAAAGACAGGTACCCAAACGGACAGCTTCGAGTACTTAATTATCTTTTCTAAATGTTCTGTTGTTGTTGTTGGGTTTTTTTTTATATGTGTCCAAATCAATCACTTCCAAAGGTCACAGTAATATATACACTGATTCTTTGTTATTTTAGGATGGTTTAATGCGGTTCAAGCCATGGAGACAATCGGTTTGATTGGATTGTCTGTTACTGCACTGATGTGTTTAGGTCTTGTCTTTTACAAACAGACCATGGTTCTTAAAAAGGTCAATATTGCCATTATATTAAGTTCAGGTACGTTAAATCACATATAATGTATAGTGTATTCCAGTATGTGAAAATATATTTAAAACAAAAAATAACATAGTGGTCCGTTTTAAGATATTCACTCGCGAGCAGGGATAAGGACGCAAGTAAGACTTTTATCGCCTATAGAATGTAGCGCTAAATATATATATATATTTTTTTTTTTTTTTTTTTTTGGTAATGGAAATAGCAAAATATAAATTAAGTAGTATTTTAAAAAATTTAAATGTACTAATTGCAAAAATGCAAAAAGAAGTAAAAAAAAGGTTCAGGTAACTGGCCAATGATTAGCTTTTGAGAAACTATGAAAAGACACCAAGAAAAAAAAACTGTTCTGGGTCTTAATGGGCCTTCTATAAACAACATAATTTTTTATCAATAAAATATATCTTTAAAAGAAAGAATGTTTGTCACTATTTTGTATTATTTTTAGTTGATACGTCATGAAAAAGATATATTATATGTAGACTATCTCGACTTGCATTACTAATTACGTGGTTCTTTGCTAGCCAGGCAATCGTTAATTCATAGCAAAGTGACACATGTCAAAGAATCTTTACCGTGTCACGTCAAAACCAACAGAGAGCGTTTGCGACTAGCATGTATCCAGACCAGCCTGTGCATCCGCGCAGTCTGATCAGGATCCATGCTGTTCTGTTCGCTTACCAACCCTATAACAAGAAGAAAAACTGATAGCAAACAGCATGGATCCGGATCAGACTGCGCGGAGGCGCAGGCTGGTCTGGATCCATGCTGGTCGCAAACCAATTATGTTGGTTTCGTCGTGACGCGACTCAAATAGTTATTGTTTGTAAATAGTAACACTTTGTTCATTTACCGTCTAATATTTCTTCTTTAATGATATGCTTTTTTATTTTAATGATTACATCTTTTTTACAGTTATATTTATAGTTGTTGGGCTTATCATCTTTGGAATTGAGAACATGGAAGATATCCAAGGCATGTTTGAAATGTTTGATAAAAATGACAATGTTAAAACGCACGGAAGCCTGAGTATGTCTTTTATCCTTTGTGCATTAAGCGTGAGCGTTTGTTTCTTCGTCTGTCTTCCTCTCCTCGTGATTGACTTGAGGACACCACTATTGCAACATTCGACATTGCGGAATTATATTGCTCAAGCTCCTGTTCAATACTCGAACCAAGGTCAAGTTATAATTCCTTCTACGGGTCAAGCACAGGTGATCATCAGCCCTATTGGTCAGCAAAATTTGGGTTTCGTGCCAGCATATACTTATGGACAATGTGTGGCACCACCGCAATATGCAGCTTCAGGGCAAGATGCCCACTCACATCCAGAACAGACTAATGGTATTCCACATAAAGAGTAAAACTTGACAAAAATATATGCTTGACGTTATAGAAAAACGAAATTGATGAAACGAAAAAGTGAACATTTTTTAAAGAACACTGTTTTAAATGCAATTTTTTAAAGTATGTAAATGATACAATAATATAATGACGTAAAAGAAAATTTTTGCCTTAATGGTTCTTGGTATTCGGAAGTGATTATATTATTATGTCTTCTGTGAAGATGTTTGAAATCAAATAAATTCATTTTTCATCATCTTCAGAACATCCAAATGATAGATTTACGTATAGAAAATATACATGTAGTATTTTAAGAAGTTGTTAGGAGTTAAAAGACAAACACAAAATAACTTTTTAAATGAAGTATGGATTAATCAGAGTGTTGGAGATGTAAATATATATTCTAGCAGTAGTAAAACAAAGATTAACAGATACATTTATACAAATTTGGTATACAACCAAGAGCAAGAAGTTAAGTATATTTAAGAAATAACATCGTTCTGAGAGGTGTATATCGGCTATTTAACACCGGTTTGGAGTTTTGATGCGTAGGAATTGACCACGAAGGCCGTAGGCCTGAGTGGTTAATTTTGTCGCATCAAAACGACAAATCTCAGGACGATGTTATTTCGATTCTAACACGATAAAATAAGGAAAATCACTAATGTTATTTTTCAAGCGGAAATAACGTCCGGTGCCGATTTTCGTATAGAGTGATTGGACACGTCCTCGATCAGCCAGGTCCTCGATCAAAATTTTGTTTTTTGTATCTTTTTCAAATAAACTTGATAAAACACGAACTTTCTTTGATTTGTTTTTCCAACACATGTAAGTAGTTTACTAAACTCCCACTGAAGAGTATTTATGTGAGGTCAAAGTTCACGCAGCAGACGATTCTAAAAACAATGGCAAAGTGAAAGTAGAAATTACCCAATAAAAAAGTAAATGCATCTTTTCTCCTTATCTCTAATATTTATACAAAATATATAAAAATGACAAAAAACATCTACTTTTGATAATCATACAAATTTTTTTCCTACATAATAAAATTAAGTAAGCTTCCAGGAAGGGGGTGGGTCGATTTCCTACAGTAATCTAGGTCAGGGATCAGCCACTAAGAAAAGATGCTAAATATATGCATATTTTGCCCAAAATACATATTTTCCGCTTTCCTAAGAATAATTAGATAATTTTACATAATATCAAAAGTAAAAAAGAAGTAAATTAAAGGATAGAAAAACACATAGGTTACAAACCACTATATTTTACTGTTTTTTCCCTTGGTTTAACACCACTATATTTTTCCCCTTTGGTGACACTCAATTATATATTTTCAGCAATGCCTAGGTCTCAGAGGACCCATCCAGATCAAATATATAGTGAGGCAAAACATCTTGTGACCCAGGGCTATTCCATACGTAAAGCAGCTATTGAATTAGGCCTTCCTTACACCACTGTACAGAACCATTGATCAATGGGAAACACAAGGGTTATATTACAAAATTTGGGGAAGAGTGTATGTCAAAGCCTGCGGATGAACAAATTCTGATAAATTATGCAACATTCATGGCATCAAGAGGCTGTCCTCATTCCAGATTATTTTTTAAAAAATGTTGCAAGAGAGATTATTATCAGTCATATGGAGGTGATAAACTCATGGATCCCAGTAAAAGATCTCAAATAATTCATTTCTATTTTATTCACATTTATTTTAGATATAAACTCCAAATTTTGTCATACAAGTACTAGTTTAAATATTTTTTTACATTATCATGTCAAAATTAGCTGATCGACGACGTGTCCATTATCCTAAGAAAATTTAAAATTTGGTGGTCTATGACCTATGTTGTTATTGTTATGTTTAATGGTTGCTCCCTAGCTTAAAATATGACGTTTTACAAGAAGAGTGTCTGGTGATATTTTTCAACGGAAAATATTACTCATACGAGGCAAGTTTAATTTGTTGGGTGTAATTTTACAATATAATTGATCGAGGACATGTCCACTGAGTCGCTGTTCGATTTTCGCATCCTACTGTTGCGAAGATATATAAATTATTAAACAAAAGAAATAATAAGAAAAAAAAACGTTATTTTATCAAGTTTTCAACATTAAAAACTTACGTCGTATTGTGTTTACATCAGTGCCCCATTTATCATTCCTGTATGTATGAAATAACGTCAGCTTGTTTACGAATGAGTTGTTTACTAAGGATGACGTCATTACGCTGGTTACGGATTGGCGCCGTTTTGTCAAAATAGTTATTAACTAATATGGATCTAATATATGGCGTTAGTGTATGTGAGATATTATTTCGGTATTGTATGGAAAGTAAACATTATACAAACTGAAAATATAAATAAAAATGCTTTTTAATGTTGCTTTAAAATGCTTTATAAAGTATACAATCGAGGGTGAAAACATAATAGCGCAAATACAAGTAGTCCCTTACCGGTGTTTATTGACAGTTTAACACCAGTTTTTTTCCTTCTTTGTCTATAGTGACAAAATCACGTGAGTGTTAGAATTGTTTTTATTTTGGCTTTAAAACATATCTGTTAATGGTTAATATTGAAAAGTTTACGAAACCTATATCATATTCCAGGACTTCTCACCTAAATCTAACAGATCGCATACACCTGAAGCAATTCCTTATAGTGAAAAATATGTAACATTTGCTCTAAGTTAGAAAATGAATTTCATGTATTATTAGAATGTCCACTGTAAAATGTTTTGAAAAAACAGCTTATAAATAATTTTGGAAAAGACCAAATATAACTAAATTTATAGAATTATTAATTTCACAAATGAAAATGCTATAAGAAAACTAACTATGTTTATCTTAAAAATGTTTTTAAAAAAACTAAAATCATATATAATTTATTTTTAATATTGGAATTATTTATGGAAAATCTGCTCATTGTGGAGCAACCACTTTCTTGTTTATATATGCATTTTATTCTAGTTTTATTCTGTTTCATATCCTGTTATTGACATTACTTCATCAGAAAAATAAACGAAAAAATCTTTTCCTATATTATGTAATAAATACTTAATTTGAATTGTTGCTACTTATAATGAAATTATATTGATAGCCAAAGGCTATTGAAATTACAATTTGTAAAGATTGAAAAATTTCAACACAAGAGAAATAGACAATTCGTCCAAAGACACTTGACAGCATAGAAAGGACGGGTGTTAGAATGCAATATTTTAAGAAGGAGCAGTTGATATTAATTTTTTTATCAGATAGAGTCGAAAGCTTTCGACAAATATTGAGAACGTAAGTATGCGAACACAGAATGTAAACTGGAGGTACTTAAACGGTCACCTACTTTAACACCTTGACGATAATACTTAATCATCCAGGAGGTTATACATGTATACGAATTGAAAATTCTTTGCACCTCTTTAACAGATGGACGATATTCCACGAATGATAAACGAATGTATATGTTTGATATCTTCCGAGAAATAATGTCTCTAATTCGTAGGATTGACCGAAATACTATATCCGTCTTGTGTATTCATATTATTGTGTGCTTTGGACAAGAACCTCGAACACATTTGTAAGAATACAAAGACCGACAAATCTACGCTTAAAAACTAAATATGCAAACAAATAGTTTTAACATGCTAGGAGTTGTTGAGTGAACTTATTTCAATATGTATCGTGTAAAAGTCCACATAAATTTAGAAAATGTAAGAACATTTAAAGTGGTTTATTTGCATTCTTATTGATTATGGCTATCAGACATTTTTTCAAGTTTTTCAATCATTATTACCGCAATGTACTTTATTTTCCTTTGGATGTCAAATAAATACATTCGTTATACATTATCAAAGATTACTCCTTCTGAATGGTAGAACTACTTTCAATCCGTATCGCCCCACGAGACCGGACTTTTAATGTGTCCTTCTGTGTGCACTAACCGTATATTAATATCACTAGCATAGAGTGATTACATTCATAAGAACAGATCTTCGCATAGGTAGAGAACTATTTATTTTTTGCTATGAATATGAAGAACCAAAAACCTGTTTTCACTTTGCACTATTTTCAGAAACTCTGTGATAAGAGGATAATAGACGTGTTAGATACCTTACACCTAGCTTGTGTGGTTTATAAAAACTGATCCGGTCAAAACTTGTCTCTTGCTTGAAAAAAACATAGAACAAAACAGAACAGATGTTATTACCCATAAACTGTACAGTTTCTAGTGTTCATTAATATATTATATAATATAACACAATAATGGATGAACTAATATTTTCTTAAGAAACAACATGCATACGTTATACAATGAAAATAAAAAAAGCAACAAGTAATTGTATGTTAAAGAACAAAGAAAAAACACATGTACTTGCATTATGTGATAATGTTTGAATTAAACAGATACTTAAAATGGAAAGAAGGAACTATAATATAATACCTTAACAGTTCCTAAAGGGAATTATTAAAATGTGAATATAATATTATTGTAAATGAATTACCATACTTCAAGAAGTTACACTAGTACATTCAAAGAATTTGATTTCTAATTTAAAATCCTCGAAAGAATATTTGCTAAAGGTAAGTAATTCTGAAAAATTTTGACAATTTAAAAAGGTTAACAAATTTAAACATACTTGGTTTTTATCTGTAAAATTTCTTTATATATTTTTGACGAATTACATTGTATTATGAACAAACAAAAACAAAATGATAACATAACATACAATGATAGTGTGTTCACTCTAAATCTATAAGCATATCAACATGAAAAATGCATCTGCTGACAGTATATGAGTAAATACGACATTAATTAATAATAAAGAATGGTTGAAAATTAATGGAAAATCTTGATCAATGTATTTTATAAATGTGCCACCCTTTCAATCTATTCTTTTTTAAATTTTACAAAGGGCCAACGTACTTTAAAAATAAACAAAAGTGTATAATTAATGTAACAAGGATGCCATATGAATTCTCCTCAACTATTTACTGTTCCTCGAAATGTATCTGTAAAATGCAGAATTATTGGTTGAGTTACATAATACACTGATCATTTAACTATATATATTTTCTATTTTACATATTAACCAAGAAAACTCTCCTGTAACTTGTAGTTCGTTTTTACCTATGTGTCTGCTGCTAAATGCTGATATGTGTAAATACTCGTGTTTTGCATAATTTTCTATATTAACTTACGGGTAAATACACATATATACATAAATAATGCAATATGTTGGACAGTAACTGTTCTGGATATTTTAAAGCGAATATAGTTCTTTTGATTATAATATTGGTTCTTCAGAGTGTAGGTTTAGGTACCGATCATTGGGTGAAAATCAGAGTTGGTGGAAATTATGTATTCAAAGGTCATAGCGGGTTGTGGAGACTATGTCAGTGTTATTACGGTGTTTATGATTTCAATGATGAGCGTTGTTTTTGTCAGTCTCTCGCCGTGCCTGTCCCAGGTCAGTATTTTCTTAATTCACTGCTTTGTGATTCACTATTTTAGCTCCAGATAGCCTAGATAATTTGGCACCCTATACTTACGAATGACGTGTTCGAAAATTTATAAAAAATTAATCCACCGTATTACATACCATAACCGAGTGGGTGCGGTCATTGGCTCTAAACCACTTGTCCCTCACCGCTCTATGTTCGAGTCCCTCCAGGGACTTATGATTTTTTCACTTGAGGAAGCTATCCAGCTAGCTTACGGGACCTCGGTGGTTCTACTCAGGTGCCCGTTCTTGCCTGAAATAATGCACGTACATATGGCGTCTCTTTCTTGGTGCGACGTAAAACCCAACCCAAAAAAACATCCCGTAACGTACAAATGTCATATTAACGCAGGACTTGTGCGGAAATAACGCCGTACTGTAAGTAAATAGACCAATATATGTTATGCTAAAATAAGTATATAGGGCTGCTAAGACAAATATATCTTTAAACTATTTTACAAAATTTAATATAATTTGTGAGAATGGCAACCTGGACACTGCATTGCAGATGACTTTTGTGAAGTATTATAATAACACGTGTAAAACTGTTTTTCTTTTTTTTTTATTTTATACATATTTTGGGTTTTGTTATGAATAGTTTTCACTTTCCTACGTTACAAATTACACGTTTAACTCGTCCAACTGAAAAGGTATTTGTTTACCAAAGGGTGTTTGTAACTTGTGCTGTAAGTCTATAACATATTTTGGACGCTTTAAAAATAGAATTTTTTTTTTAAAAAAACTGGCCTTGTTTATATTTTGTTATTTCAGGTTGGTTAACAATTGTGAGAGTGCTGGAAGGGCTTGGTCTCATATGTGTTGTAATTGCTGGTACTGTATTCATCATACAATCTGTCTCATCACGAAGAACTCATTTTAAATCGTCGGCAGCAATCTTAACACTGGCATCAGGTAGGTAACAATACTAGAGCAGTCCATACATATAATAGCTTAGTTAGTACTGGAGTAAATTGTCATAAACGAATACTTTGCCGATGACAACGCCGACGTGAGGGTCATGACAATATCCCTGCTTTTTCCTTAAACGTTGAGCTAAAATGAGCCGTGTCGTGACAAAGCCAACATAATGGCTTTGCGACCAGCATGGATCCAGACTAGCCTGCGCATCTTCTGTTCGCGTACAAATTCTATAACAAGTAGAGAAACCGATAGCGAACAGCATGGATCCTGTCGCAGACGCATTATGTTGTTTTTGTCATGACGCGGCTTAAATAACATTTGCGTTTACAAGATAACTTTTTACTGCAACTGAATGGCTATTTGCTTGATCTAACTAAGTTATTTCATTTACTAGAACAATTATTTCTTTGTTTCAGGAGCGTCAATACTGATAGGTATTATAATTTATGGCTCCAAAATGGTCAAAAATTTTGACTATTCATACATTTTATGCACGATTGCTGGTATATTGTGTATAATTTGTTCGTTCCTCATCCACAATGATCGGAAACCTCGGAATTCCACTGACAACAGCGTTCACCGGGAAAATAATATTGAAAGCCGACGAGTTGGTGAGGTAGAGACAGATGTTCCACAAATTTTAACTAACTCAACAATTTCACAACCAGACCATGCAGAAGAGTTTGTGTCCAGTCTGAATCATTCACAAAATATTGATGATCTTCCACCAACATATGACGAAATAACATTAGAACCCCCACCACCATCTTATCACGATGTAGTGACTCAGCAAAAATTCACAACATAAATTATAGCTGTAGATGAGAAACGTTTCTAAAAAATACAATTATTAGTCATGGTTAGGACTAGAATTTCTTGCTTATATTTGAAAGAACTTGTATGCAGTGTAAACGCCCGAAATGATATATTCATAATTATAGATCTATCACATTTGTATTACTTGTACTTAATTTTCAGTGTTGTAATTAATTGTGGTTAAAAATCGTGTTAAAAACATGAAACAAATACATTACAAGTTCATGATCATTTAATTTCTGAAATGTAGCATCAATAATAATCGATTTATTTATATTATAAAATTATAAATACATTTTATAAAGGTGCACATTGACATTGACGTAAAATATGTAGCAATTTTAGAACAGTCAATGTTTAGAGAAGTGGTTGATTTAAAGGCTGCACAGGTAAAAAGATCAAACAAAATCATTGTGGATTTTATCCCTGCTCGTATTCTTTTTTCTCTAAACATTACAACAATACTATCCGCATATATTTGGGAACTTACATTATCTTGAAGATTATCGTTTTTAAGAATAAATATGGAAGGTGGTCTGTAAACTGGATATTAGAGTGTTACATTTCGAAATTCAACAAATGGGCGAAATATAATAATCTATCACGATAGAGATATATAAAAACTTAAAAAGTATCTTGAGCAATACGAATAAAAGGGGCGACTAACACAATAGCAATTCATCAATTAAAATCATATTGAGTACACTCCCTTTAATATATCGATTCTTCAGGTGAAACTAAACACCTGTATGTTTCTATATCGACCGAGGCAGACTCTTTTTCACTGTGACATTGGTTTATTTATAAAGCTGTGTTTGACTCAAAATGTAAGAAAAAAAAGGTAACCGGAATGGTGGACAGTTTTTGGAGTATATTATCAACACATTTGATGTACAAGTAACAATTACCGAAATGGTTGACAGTTGTAGAATATTTTCAAACAGCTCGAATGTATTGAAGGTGTGTGCTGGTGTGTTGGGTGTGGCGTTCATCGTACACTGTGTGGGTATTGGGACTACATTTTGGGTTAAACATGAGAACAGTGCATACCAAAGTCGATATCACAGTGGTTTGTTCCGATCCTGTTCCTGCTTTACCTTCTTCGGTGAAACGTGTGTTTGTGCTTCATATTCAAATATGGCACCAGGTACATTTAATTTTTTCTTGTAATACACCAGTTATTTGTTAATCCGGTCCAAAACACATTGCATAGGGGGAATGAATGTGTGGAAAAAAATAGACCTTTTACCTTTCAGTCAGTCCATGCACTGTCGAGTAAATGTTATGATGAAATTTTTGCGGGTGATTGCCTGCAGAGGGTTGGTAGCCCAGAGTGTGTGTGTGGGGGGGGGGCGGCGTAAATATCAATTGGTTAATAATTAATTATTTAGTTTATCAATGAAAAACAATATTATTTCTCCTGTTAAATAACTCGCAAAATAAGTAAATAAAATAAAGCATACAATTGTGTTTTCAGTCTTTACATGAAAATAGTACTAATTTCCAGATATGTAAAATGTTATGAGCGGAAGTGTTTTTAAGTTTTATTAGTTTATTTCATATCTAGATGATTCCATAAATACACACATAGTTTTATTTATTATAGGGTGGCTGAAATGTGTGCAAGCCCTGGAGGTTATAGGTCTTATTGCAATTATCTGTGTTGGATTTCTGATATTCATGCAGTTTTTCTGCACACAAAGTATAGCTATCAAGACATGGGGGATCATGCTTATGATATTTGCTGGTAAGTATATGATATATTTTTCAAGTACTGTAAAACAGAAATTTAAATACCAACATTTTTGCATTAAGGCATCATATAAATTTAATTTAAATTGACAAAATACTTGTCTCTGTATATAATGTGATTGCAAAATTTGTCTGTGGTTGTGTCTTTTTCTTCAACGTAGACTGGGGTTGTCATTATTTGTATCGATATATCGAAACACCATATATCGACGATATATCGATATTTGAAATAGGTACATAATCAAGTGGTAACTTTTTGAATGCATGAATTAAAGCTGTTATCATGGTCTTTGTCCATTATCAATTTAACAAATAAAGCATAATAAAGGAAGAATGTATTTCTTCTTATAATCTCATTGACCTCTGGCAATTAAGTTAAGGGTTCATTAGCTTATCAAAAAAAATTAAGGGACTCGTATATGTATAAAATTACAAATTAACGCTGTAAATGTTTTGGTGTTTAAGTAACAAAAAAACAGCAAATGAACTGCATGTTTATAGACAACATATAAATAAATAACATTTAGCAAATTATCTTGTATCCCTATGTGGCTCACTGGCAGGTAACTGATATGTATTGATACACTTATTGTACATTTAAAAAATGGTTTTGCTCATACACAAAGTCTTGTTTATGATTTTTATAGTTTTTTTATTTATTTATTTGTGACACTAATTTCTTTGTTTCAGGTGTGTGTATATTGGCCGGTGTGTCACTTTATGGTGCAATGATGGTTGCAAATCTCAGCTTTTCATTCGGGCTCTGTGTCGTAGCAGCAGTAATGTGCTTTTTGTGCTCCATTCTCTTGTTTCAAGATAGAAGAATATCTCTTAAACGTCCGATGTCTACCAGTCAAATCCATTACGCCAATCAAGGACAAATCATTTCAAGTCCAAACACACAGGTTGTCATTGCTTATTCTAATCAAATGCAACCACCTGCTTATCCGGCGATGAATGCGCATGCCCAGTATGGGCCTCCACCAGCATATATTGTTGCCCAGCATCAAAGACAGTTTGTACAGCATTAATGCCGTTTACGTGCACACATGAACATCAATGTTAAGCATCAAAGAGTAAACAAATAAAATTCAAACATTGGTGGATTGAAAATTAATACAGAAAGACTCTTAAACATTGATATTAATAGAGAGAGAAACAACATTTATAGAATATTAAGGTGACAACGGAGTCAATTATCACAGAAAATACCTAAAATGAGATTTTTTGCTAAGTAGATTTATCAACCTTTTCTGAACACATTCGTGATTTAATTTTGGAAGCAGTTAGTCCAAAAAAATGTGTTTTTAAACGTTTTAAAACGGTACCTGTACCATTTTTATCTGCTATTCGCGTAACTTGTCAATTATCGATAACGCTCCGCCCCCTGTTGAGGCATCAATGAGGGAAATCGGTAGTTCCATATATCCGTGAATTACCGGTCCATACTGGTCCATACTACTCGTATTTCATTATCGTACATATACCGTACATCTTTTATGAATATCGTTTACCTTTTATTTGGCATATTTTATAAAATAAGAAATTGTCGGCCAATGTACGTAACATAATGTATGAAACATAAATAATAAAGCATAGCGGCAAATCGCACGACCACGGGGTTAAAAATATAATTGTAAAATATCCATAATGTGTGAAAATAATTTGTCTGTCCCGCTAATCTGATTGATATTACATTGAGTTTATGGACTTTTGTACGGATTCAACGGCTTGCTTTACATTCAACCTCGCTTTCTAACAATGTCAAGTCAAACAACAACAAAAACAGACAACATTTTTTATGTGAACGCCTAGATGACTTGTGGTAAGGTGTCCCTGACAAATTTCTAAACCATTTTAGATTGTTTAAGGATGATTATTTCTCCTATGAATCAATAAAAAAAGATATTAATATATATTATCAGTGAATGCTTTGAATAAATTGTTCGCCAGTAAATCGAACACAGTACTAATAAACCTGGGACAAAGTATGGAATTTATTGTATATCCCAGTAGAAACTGGATCTCTATGCCGTGCATAGATGATTTTCATGATAATAGAAGTCAAGAAGGTCAGATCATAATGATCGAGTGATACCTTTTATTTCTATTAAAATATGTGAAGCATTTATATCAATTTGGAGGGAAAATATATAATATCCCGTTCTTATTTGTACATCTACCATGGCCTTTAAAATACCGTCAGAAGCTCAGTTTTTTGTTATTTTAATTTATATTTTAACGGAATTTCATACACGAATACACAGACAGAGTGACACTGGTATAATATAATAATAATGCTGATGATAATAATAATAAACTTCAAAAGTGAAACAATTAAATACCCCGCTAGCGGTGCGCAAATACGTTCCATTTCCCCCCACCGAGTGCCTCAAATTTTACCGAAAGTCAGGTGACATGTGCGACCGATACCAGACGGACAGTAAATCACGTTAAGATTTGAAGAAATTTCTGTTATAAACTGATATTAATCAGCAACTTTTTAATTGGTCAGATGTCACTGGGTCATAAAATGTTGTTAGAGTATGTTACCGCAACCTGTGACCCTCTCTGGTGCGACATTTATGTATTATGCAATTATTTAGCGTGAAACGTAGGGGTCCGAGAGAGAACAGCCGATTTATGACACTTCGTTTGATGCGGGTCGGACTAACTTTGAATCGGCATAACTTTTTTAATAATCAAGCAATTAACATGCAGTTTAAAGCACATGAAAGGGAATTCATTTACGGAGGGAACCGTGTCAGGGATTTTTGTTTGCTCAATCAGCGACTTAATTATCTTTAATTACGTGATATGTATGGTGAAAAAAGTCGCATAAAATGTTTGACGTTACGTAATATTTTTTTGAGAAAAGATAGAAAAAAAATTGAGACACGGTTCCCCAGATATTATCAGTATGTTTATTTTAAAAAGTTTGATAACAAAAAAAAATAAAAAATGACTTTGATATGACGATTTAAAATTTTAGGATTTTTATTAAAAATCAATCCTTTACAAAAGAATTTTTTTCAAATATGTTATTTTTTATGATGATCAGCGACATTTAATGCACAAAGATTAAATAAATAACAATTATTACTAAAATAAGTTGGTTTAAATGACATTTATGTGAGTACCACGGAAAGTGTCTGTTGTCACCTTAAACATTCGTCATTCACAGAGATTGATAACTTGCATATCACTAGAATTTTTGTGATTAAATTAATGTTTATACAATTCACATTCTTCAGTTAGTCGGCTGTAAGAGAAGGATATTTTAAACATTATTATTTACTTATGTTCTGTTAAAATATGTTATATGTTAAAAATATTATATTATACATGTGTATATCATATTGTATGATATTATTTCGTTAGTTTTCTCATCCAACCAGTATTGGTGTTATATGAAAAAACATGGTCGTAACCCAAGCCTATGGTGGCTGATTGGGCTTGTATGGTGGCTGAATTGGTACGCTTTTGTGCGTCGCGTTGGCGCTATCGACAAAGCGCCAAACGGCGCGCTGTCGTCTTGTCGTCTTGTCTCTAGTGCGACACGCCAAACGGCGCGTTGTCGTGCGGCGTGTTGTCCCGATGTCACATTGTCGCCCGGTTCTAATTGAAGTATTGGCTTTTTAGCCAAGCGAAAGGGCGACAACGCACTGCACGACAACGCGCCGTTTGGCGTGCCGCGCTACAGACAAGGCAACAACGCGCCGTTTGGTGTTGTCGCTAGCGACAGGACGACAAGACGAAAGTCCGACAACGCTCCGTTTGGCGCTTTGTCGTGTTGTCGCTAATTTGTTCATCAATAAAATATATATTTAAAAGAAAGAATGTTTGTCACTATTTTGTGTTATTTTTAGTTGATACCTCATGAAAGTTATATATTATATGTAGACTATTTCCACTTGTATTACTAATAACGTGGTACTTTGCTCGCCAGACAATCGTTAATTCATACCAAAGTGACACATGTCAAACACTCTTTACGGAAGAAATAGTTATTGTTTGTAAATATATAGTAACACGTTGTTCATTTACCGTCTAATAGTTCTTCTTATTAATGATATGTATATCTTTATTTTAATTATTACATCTCTTTAACAGTTATATTTATAGTTGTTGGACTTATCATCTTTGGAATTGAGAACATGGAAGATACCCAAGGCATGTTTGAAATGTTTGATAAAAATGACAATGAAAATACGCACGGGAGCCTGCGTATCTCTTTTATCCTTTGTGCATTAAGTGTGAGCGTTTGTTTCTTCGTCTGCCTTCCTCTCCTCGTGATTGACCTGCGGACACCACTATTGCAACATTCGACATTGCGGAATTATATTGCTCAAGCTCCTGTTCAATACTCGAACCAAGGTCAAGTTATAATTCCTTCATCGGGTCAAGCGCAGGTGATCATCAGCCTTATTGGTCAGCAAAATTTGGGTTTCGTGCCAGCATTCACTTATGGACAATGTGTGGCACTACCGCAATATGCAGCTTCCGGGCAAGATATCAACTCGCATCCAGAGCAGACTAATGGTATTCCACATCAAGAGTAAAACTTGACAAAAATAATTATATGCTTGACGTTACAGGAAAACGAAATTGATGAAACGAAAAAGTTTTACACTGTTTTAAATGCATTTTTTAAAGTATGTAAATGATACAATAATATGATGACGTAAAAGAAAATGTATGCCTTAATGATTCTTGGTATTCAGAAGTGATTATATGATTATGTCTTCTGTGAAGATGTTTGAAATCAAATAAATTCATTTGTCATCATCTTCAGAACATCCAAATGATAGATTTACGTATAGAAAATATACATGTAGTATTGTAAGAAGTTGTTAGGAGTTAAAAGACAAACACAAAATAACTTTTTAAATGAAGTATGGATTAATCAGAGTGTTGGAGAGTAAATATATATTTTAGCAGTAGTAAAACAAAGATTAACAGATACATTTATACAAATTTGGTATACAACACTAAGAGATTCATCAAGAGCAAGAAGTTATGTAATTATCTTTTATTTTGGCTTTAAAACATATCAGTTAATGGTTAATATTGAAAAGTTTACGAAACCTTTATCACATCCCAGGACTTCTCACCTAAATCTAACAGATCGCATACACCTGAAGCAATTCCTTATCGTGAAAGAAAATGTAACATTTGCTCGATGTTAGAAAATGAATTTCATGTATTATTAAAATGTCCACTGTACAATGTTTGAGAAAACAGCTTATGAATAAATATTTTTGAAAAAGACTAAATATTCCTAAATTTATTGAAATGTTAAATGTAATGGTACTTAATTGATATTATTATGTTAAACTTGTGCTTCATTTACACGGTCAGGTAATATGGTTATTCTGTTCATATTAGACCAAACTTCAGTCTCAATTTCATGTTAAATATGTATGTATGTATGTATGTGCGTGCGTGCGTGCGTGCTTGTGTGTGTGTGTATGTGTGTGTATGCATGCATGCATGCATGATGTATGTATGTATGTATGTATGTATGTATGTATGTATGTATGTATGTATGTATGTATGTATGTATGTATGCATTTATGTATGTATGTATGTATGTACTCATTGGTGTATTACCCATATGTGTTCTGAAATAAAATCTAGAATCTACAATCATATATGATTTTTTTCAATATTGGAATTATTTATGTAAAATCTGCCCATTGTAGATCAAACCATTTTATTGTCTTTTTATATGTATTTTATTCAAGTTTTATTCTGTTTCATATCCTGTTAATGACATTACTTCATCAGAAAAATAAATGAAAAACTATTTCTATATTATGTTATAAATACTTAACTTGAATTTTACTACTTTGAATGAATTATATTGATAGCCATAGGCTATTGCAATTAGAATTTTTAAAAATTGAATAATTTTAACATAAGATAAATAGACAATTCGTCCAAAGACACTTGATAGCAGACGACATTATACAGAAAGGACAGGTGGTAATATGCAATATTTTAAAGAAAGAGCACTTGATAAAAAATTGTAAATGTATTTCGGTCAGACAGTGTCGAAACTTTTCGACAAATATTGAAAACGAAAGTAAGCGGATACAGAATGTATACTGGAGGTACTTTAACGTCTGACGATTATTCTTAGTCATCCCGGAGGTAATACATGTATACGAATTGAAAATAGTTATACCTATTGACCTTTGGTGCAAGTGTTATCTTTGTACATGTATAATGATTAACGAATGTATATGTTTGATATCTTCCGGAAAATAATGTCTCTAATTCGGAGGATTGACCAAAATACTGTATCCGACTTGTGTATTCAAACTATTATGATTTGGACAAGAACCTCGAATACATTTGTAAGAATACACAGAACGGTCAAACCTACGCTTAGAAACTAAACATGCAAACAACTAGTCTTAAAATGCTAGGAGTTGTTGACTGAACTTATTTCAATATATATCGTGTAAAAGTCCACATAAATTAAGAAAATTTAAGTGATTTATTTTCATTCTTATTAGTATGGTTGTAGAAACTGAAAGTACTATATATCTTTTTGTTAACATAAATCTGGATTTAGTAATAATTGTACATTCCTGGGCAATTTAAAATTCATCATGGTCGTCAGACCTATTTTCAATCATTATTTTACCGCAATGGACTTAATTTTCTTTTGGATGTCAAATAAATACATTCTTTATACATTTTCAAAGATTACGTCCTCTGTTTTTGTTTACATATTAGAAAACTGCGTGGTAGAACTACTTTAAATCCATATCGCCCTACGAGACCGGGCTTTAAATGTGTACTTCTGTTTCTGTAAATGGTAATGAAGTGTGCACTAACCATAAATTAATATCACTAGCATAGAGTGATTACATTCATAAGAACAGATCGTCGCATAGGTAGAGAACTCATTCGGTTGTCTTTATTATTTGTTAGGAATATGGAAAACCAAAAACCTTCCTCCCTTTTTCACTATTTTTAGCTAGTTTTTTACAGAACAGAACAGAAATTTTTTATTGACGTAAACAGTACAGTTTTTTGTCATACATTTTACATATAAACACAAACATATATTTGTCAAGTGATTAAATAAAGTTCAAAAAATAATAACATTTTTATCACAAATAAATACAGATATTTCAAGGAGGATGGATCAGCTATTTATATTTCCTAGTTAATAAGACAGTTTTGTTGTTTCAAATTATCAATGTACAGTAAAGTCCTTCTTAAATGCGTTATATATGAATTTTCCCAGATTTACATGTCACATTTCAAAAGCTCTATAAACTTCATTTCATTTGGCCTTCTATAAAAATATGCTTTGATAAACTGTTTCCTTATATTAGCGTATACTGGACATACCATGACAAAATGATATTCGTCTTCTATATCTCTATTGCTACAAAATATACAATATCGCACATTTCTTTCTACTCTATTCCTAGCGTATCGACCTGTTTCCATGGCTAACTTGTGCGACGATTGTCTAAGCTTAGACAGAACGCTTCTAAATTTAAATGGCAATATATCTAAATATTTTTTCAAACCCAATTGATGTTTTATAATGTTTGTACATATCCAATGTTCCGCATCCCTGTAGTCGTTGGTGCCAGTTTTGTTTAAAGGTATCTAATTCTCTTTCTTTAAAAACTAGATGGAACTTATTTAAGTTAACACAGAATGGATTGTTCAAAACATATGAAAAACCATAACAATCTAAGAGGTATTTAATTTGATATGCCCAGTTATTTCTATTAACCGTGCATTTACAAAAATATTCATACATTTTTGCTAATAATACATTAGAAGACCTTACTATTTTACACAAGAATTTAATGATACGCACATATCTATTTACATACAATGGTAACGCCCCAATTCTCCATAAACACCCATATTACTACAATTTGTTTTAACATTCAAAGAGATTTGCAAAATTTTAAATGGATACGTTCGATTTCTTTCGATTTACCAAAATCCCAAATTTCACACCCATAATTGAGAGTAGTTGTAACCAGAGCTGCATTACTGGTACAGGTACTGGTACTGCAGTACGTACTGCAGTGATTTTGCAAGTACTGGTACTGATACTGAATTACTCTTACAAAATTTTGCTACTACTACTTCTATTATAAAGAGATAGAGCATCATAAAACTCACATTTAGCTAGGCGACATTCATTATCGAACCAATCTGCCTTTTTACAATATCTACCATTGATTTTATTTTTGGTTGGATCTATTAGTGAATATTTCTTTTAAAAAAGGGTAATGCAGCCTCATTTATAACATTTGTAAAACTTTCGACACAAGAATTAATAGTTTCCTTATCACAATTTACTGAACATGTATCAACAATGCGGTTTAATTTCGGCAGTTCGCTTATAAGCTTATTTCTAAAGGCAGCTTTGTTGCTTTCTGACCATACAATACTTTTTTTACATACGGCTGTTGTACAGCAGGTATATTTTAATTACATAATAGTATATCAAATGACAATGCACAATGATCTGACCATTCACTTAATGGTGAAACACTAAAATTATTGATAAACAGAAAATCTTGATTTTTTAATAATAAGTAGTTTATTACACTCGATCCTAGACTATTAAAAAATGTAAAAGAACCGTTATGATCATTTCCTAGTCTACCGTTCGCATTCCTTAATAACGTAGATTTACACAGATTAATGAGTTTTAACCCATGCGCATTTGTTACATTATCCATTGATTTTCGCTCACATGTTAAATCTGGTACATAACTGTCATCATCGATAAAATCTACAATCCCATCATACAAAATAATATCTCTTTTTAAGCCTACACGAGCATTCCAGTCACCAATCAACCATACTTTTCCTTGTGTTTGAAATTCATTTATATCTTGCTGCAATAATTCGAATAAATCAACATTTATAACATTATAACATGGAGATTTTTCAGCCCATATATAAACACCTGCTAGAAATACATCAGTTTCTAAACCAAAAACGTTCTTATCAAACTTTAACCAAATAATTGTATCATGAATATTGACTATAGAAATTCCCTTGTGTAAACATTCTTTTATGAAAATAATAATTCCGCCGCTACAACGCTTTGAGTTTTTATGTTGATATTTTCTATAAAAATTGAAATAATTATATCCATTAATGTCCATACAAGTATGCTCATTTGCCCAGGACTCGTATAAAAAAATAACATCATAATTACAAAGTTTTTTAACAAAGTCTATATCACTGCTTTTAGACTTCGATAGGCCATTAATGTTCCATGAAAGAACCTTGATTTCACCCTCGGATACCCCCTATTTCGCAGATGTGTGAACTTCAGACGCACTTCCGGGTCCGGTGTTTGAAATCGCCTCGGTTGATCGCACAAGTTTTCCGTCAACGAAAAGTTTATCATAACTTAACCAAGCCTTCTTATTTGTTGCACGTGCTTCACGTAATTTTGGCAGAAGTGATTTCCTTCGGTCACCTACATCTTTTGGAAATTGTTCATTAATATAAAAGCTTCTTTTTTTCAAAACAGGACTGGCACGACGCACTTTTTCTCGCTCTTTGACATAAGTGAATTTTGCCACGATATTGCGGGGCCTTTATTTCATTGACTAAATCTTGTGCAAGCTTCATCTCGCTCGTCATAAAATTACGCAAAATTAACTCCGTGCCATCGGGCTTCTCATTTACATCTTCTTTAATTCCAGAAAATAACAAGTTATTTCTCATACTTTGAGACTGGAGATAGTTCATAGTGTTTTGTATACTAGTTTTTTTTCATTTTGCAATTCAGATAATTGGCTGTTGGTTTGCGCTAGCACCAATTCAAAATTATCCACCTTATCCGTGATTTTGTTCATTGTTTGACTGTTAGATATATTGCTGTCTTGAACGAAGTTCCAAACCTTCACTAATTCCGATTCCATATTATTGACCTTTTCTTCCAATATATCTAATTTGCCCAACTTTTGGTCCATCTGAGTTATTTTGATGTTCATACTCTTAAGAAAGTTCATAATGTCAGCATTCGAGGGGCTGGATTGACTTGATTCATTTTTACTCGACCCGGATGTATTTGCCTGCTCATGGTGCTCAAAAACAGAATAATCCAAATTATTCATTTCAATAATCTGATCTGATTTTAAATAATACAGAATTTGCGTCCATTAGTACCTCGCTAACACTGTCCGACTTCTACTTGAACGTTGAGCAGGGATTGTTTCGTTTTTACCCCACTGTTTCCACTATATTTACGTTTACCCATAGGATACCGTTTATCGCTCACATATGCACGGGGAATAGTATTTGATATATCTTTAGTTATGCAGCACTTACTTGTCTATATTTTGAACTTTTGAAAATCCTTTGTTAAGAATTTTGTAAATATAAGTCATTTTTACTTTTTCCACACATTCGTTAATTTCTAATAATACAAAACTATAAATTCCCACTTATTTTCCTATTTAAAATCCACCAATAAATCCGACAAGAATTATTTTTATTATTTTTACAGGACGACTGTTTTTTAACGTTCGCCGCCATTTAATCACGTGACTATCCACTCACTATTAACTCTGTGATAAGTTTTCATTATTTAAAGGATACAAGAAAAGCATTGATGCAAAGCATCAAAGGGCGTCCAAGCAAGAAATGCAGCAGGTGAAGATGAACTAGTAGATATATGATGACAAGATATTCTTATAAATTTTTCAATGGTTCATTGGTTTTTACCAGAATTGTATATCACTTATAAATGAACGGACGAAAGACATTGTTCATTACTTATAACTTTGATTGGCATGCTAG